AAGGTGCTAGTGTGAGATCATATAGAACCATTAGCAAGAACAGCACAAAATACAAACGGGAAGGATCTGTGAAGAAAGTGGGAACGGAACAGTCTGCACACCTTCTTGGCACTACTGCATTTTCTTTCAAAGCTTTTTAATTAAAATAAAATGCTAATATAGCATTTGGAGGGAAATCCTTGTCAAATTGTCAGGATATATCGAAACTTTAAAAAAGCAGGTTAGACCAACGCACTTTTGGCTACCGCTGGGATGAATCTTGAGGACTCCAAACGAAATGAAACGTAGTTCTTATTTTGGTGTCACAACCTGCTGCGGTCAGGGCTTACTTCTGACTCTGCTCAGGGATCACTCCTGGTAGGATGGTATTGGGGATAGAACCCAGGTGAGTCACACACACGGCAAGTTCATACCTACCGGAGGCACTTGCTCCAGCCCTGCCTCCTAGTCTCCCCGCCCTGCCCCAAAAGTTTCAGTTTTGTAAAAAAATCAACCCCCCCCCCAACAAAACTTAAAGAGATGGATGCTGCAACACTGACCCGTGCATGTGGAACATTAAACTGCTAAATACTGTTAAAACTAAACATTTTAAAGGCATTTAGCATTGTCCTCATGTGCCGTGGTGGTTTTGAGTACTAGCTGTGATATGTACTAGTAAGTGATTATCTGCAGACTGGTGGGCCTGTGTTCATTCTCCTACCTCTACTTGAAATTCTCTCAACAAAATCAAATGGAACTAAATTATCTTCCCCCAAAAGGAAATCAATAAGGTAATGGAGTTTCCTACTCAAGAGAATCGTAAGAATAGCTGGCTGTAGTTTTTCACATTTTTTTTCCTTTTTGGGTCACTCCTAGCTCTGTGCTCAGGGGACCATATAGGATGCTGGGAATTGAACCCCGGTCAGCCGCATGCAAGGCAAATGCCTTACCCGCTGTGCTATTGCGCCAGCCCCCTGGCTATAGTTTAAACACGTAAAATGCAGTGATGTTTTGGCGTGGCTGACTCACTCCCAGGGAAGAAACCTGCTGAAAACCAGGGGTGGATTGTCGGGCTTGGAAAAGTCACACCAACAGTCTAAGGTCTGCTATGAAAACAAAGTCATCTTTATTAAGTTAAAAATAAAAACCCTCATGAAAGACAAACTCCACCACCTTATCGTTTGCAACTACAGAAATTTCACGTGGGAAAGCAATCTGTGACAGTCTGCAAAGTAACTCTCCGAGGAACTTCATCCTTCCGCCAGCCAGGACTCTCCGGGAGGAAGGAACTCTCCGACTCTTGCTGCAGAAGGACCCTTTCAGCAGAGCTGATTTTCGTCTACCGTTATTCTCCTCTCTGAAAACAACGTACTTTCTGATATTTCACATCACCAGAGATGAAACGTCACGTTTGTGGAAGCAAAAGAATGAAACACAAATCATTCCCCGCACAACTCCCTACGAATATGAGTGAGGGCATCCGACGGGTACATCTAGACCACAGAAACCCCCCCTGTGGCGGGCTGTGCCACAGGGGCCGTGCCAGTGCTGGCAGCGCGGTCCCCACCTTTCACCCCCACCTGTGCTGTGAGGTCTGTACCTGTTAAGAGTCTAGATCCTGGACACTCAGAAAACAGCCGAAAGGATCATATGCACAACGCCCCATCAAGTCTTTGCAAACCTGCGTGTGGAATGTGAAGGAAACCAAGCACTTTGAGTTTTCACAGTGCTGTGTTCTCAGGCCAGTCTCGGTGTCTGCACTGCATTCTCTGGAATGAGCTTTTCTATCATGGCATTAAGAGGAAAAAGAAGGGAAATCTCTTTCTTAAATGTCAAGTCTCTGGAAAACGGGTGCTATTTACTTTCCAAGACCCTGTACGCAGTAGAAATCAAGCTGCCATGGTGGCCAGACAGGTGACAAGGTGTGTGGTAACACAAAGATTTGCTCTCATTTTTAACGATCCCATGATAAAACTTCAGTCACGGACAAACAGCTCTCAGAACTCAACCACCACAAAGACAACCTGTACAGCCTATTGCTAATGAACTTCAGTTAAGTCACGACTGAAATATTTCCAGGTGCTCAATACTAAAGTGTGGGGGGATAATGTCTAAAGCAAGGATTCCCTCGCACTGAGATTCTTAAACTGAGACAAAAGTTTCAGAGTAAGCCCAGGGGAACAGTCTGCAAGAAAGAAAAATTAGGTCAGTTTAGTCATTTCTGCAAACTGTAGCAGAAGAGAGGAAAAGACATTTGGAGCCAAATGAAAGCATTCTTTGGGGTTCAGGGACTTCCGCCATTTTGGTTCTCTCACCTCTTAACTCAGAATGTTCTAGTTCACAACTTCCCGTAATATACATCAGTAAGAAAACGCAAGTGAAGGGGAAAAGCAAAGGGGCATGATCCTCTTCGGTCAGGCGACCTTCTGCTGAGACACACACTAGTGACTTCTCTCGCCTACAAGGGAGAGGGGGTGAGATTAACTCGTGGCTCCCTGTGCAGCGAGGCTGGCTGAGGGCCAAGGACTCTGCATCACAGCCTTTGGGCAGCCTGAACCTGAACACTGGCATGGGCACCAGTGCTGCAAGAACGCTGGCCATCCACGGCTGAGCCAGCCTGCAGAAAGTCAACAAATCTGAGACTCTCCTTTAGAATGGAAACTACGCTGTCGCTGCAGAAATCTGGCGAAGCCTCCCCCTTAACCTCACCAATTTCTGGTCACATTTCATTTCCTTAGGCCCCATGGAAAACTACGCTTGTTCTAGATGTTTCTATCAAGTGAACTTGAAAAAAGCTTAAGGATACCACTTGCGATCACCAAAACACAAAACCCCCAAAACACCCAATATAATCTAAAACCCCCCAGTGGAATCTAACCTGTGCATTAGCTCACAGAATACAAATCTCATCAAGCCGAAGCAATTCCCACCCACCCAAGGCCAGCCAGCCTCACCCCACGCTGGGGTCAAGGTCCTTCACCGCATCCTGAGCCTCACGAGAAGTGCTCACTCCACCACAGCAAAGGATGGCCAAAAAGGACCACCCCAAACCCACCAAACAAGTTCTACTCACTCCTGCTTCCTAGAACATCTTCTAGAAAAACAAACATTCTTGGTTGTTGTTGTTCTTGTTTTGGGGTCACACCCAACAGCACTGAATGGTTACTCCCGACTGCACTCAGGAATCACACTAGGGGGCTTGGGGACCATGTAGAGCGCTGGGAAGTGAACCAGGATGACTGCGCAAAGCCGAGACCCACTCTACTCTCTGTCCTCCAAATAAACACGCCCAGCCACCTGTCAACATTACTTGACCACACGTTTCTAAGCCTACACAAGGATCCCAACAAACACAGACACGCTCAGATTACCAATAATTCACTGTTATTTTTGCAAAGAAAGGTGATTATGTAAGATCCCATTCTCCCCAGCAATGAGGGAAGGAAAAAAACGTTACTTTGAAAATGGCTCTATTAGTAGGTCAGTAAAAACCAGCGCCAAATGCTGATCCTTCATCACTCTGGAATTAACCTTTACTGGTGACATGAACAAACATAAAAATGAAGGATAAGAAATACCCAAGCTACACTGCACATTTAAAATAACCACTAAGAAAAGTCATCTGGCAGTTTTCTAGAACTAATGTAGGCTTGCCAGTTAATATACCTACTCCCTCAAATCATAGCATGTTCAAAACATGTTTTAAACAGCATGTTTTGTGATCAGGGAAGACTAAGTGAAGCAAGTCAAACAGTTGAGCTAATTCAACACAATTCATTAGAGTCATTTCGGGCGGAGGGGGAGTCACCAACCACCGTATCAAGTGCCTGAATAAACAATGGGAAGCAAGATTCACATCGAGTAATGTCAGTTCAAGTCTACACAACCCTTTATTACACTCTATTTACAGCAACATCAGAATTAACATTATGAATATTATACAAGTGCTATGTCTTCCTCATACTGCAGCAGTTTTATTCCCATGTAACAGATTCCAACACTGCAAATGGTCAAAGTCAACGTTTTGCACCTGACATTTACAAACCGACGCATGTTTACGCTCCTAAAAACTTTTGCCTTCAATTTCACTTAAAGCTAGACGTCAAATTAAATTCTAAAAAATCCCAAGGTGTTTGAAACAGAGGCCCGTGGAAACCTACTGAAGCAGCAGTGTCTGAAAGGCCACCTCTGGGCCAGCAGGGGGGCCATGGCACTCGGGATGCCGGAGACGGCTCTTCCTGGATGACACCCACGAATGAACTCCCTCATGACAGAAAATGGAACAAACATGGAGATGTCATTTCTCCCCTAAAAATAAACAGTTGCTCAGGACTCACAGTTGAGTGTGCAAACTGAAATCACTTCACTGACCAACCATGCCCACTGAAGCCATGTTTAGTGGTGCACTGACAAACACAAGCCACATTCCCCTCCGTCTCTATCTCTGGGTTCTAACTTGAACACTAAGTGTGCAGTGTCGGAGAAACAGGTTGGTAACATACCCGTCTGGGTCTCGTGCTTCTGAGAGGCCATCTTCTAGTAACATGTAAGTCATCAGCTACTGGAACAATGGCGCCTCGGTGTAAGAACATGACAAATGCCAAGCTCACTCAGTAGGGCTTTAAGGGACTTGATGTCACCATTAGGCCAGGGCAAGAAAACAACATTGTAGTTTTCTGTTCAGATTTTATTTGAAATCTAATTAAAATTGTCAAAGCTACAAAAAAGGGGAAAGACATCTGTATTATTTTTGCTAAGTCACAACATCCTAAAACAAAATACTACTACTGCCAAGAGATCCATTATACACATTTTGGATGAAATTCATTAGCACAGTAAAAATTTCATCTTGAGAAACGGCCACAATGAAAGTAATTTATACAATATAAAACAACGACAGGTCTACAGATGCAGTTCCTCGTGAGTTTACACATGCATTCACAAACAAACAAACAAAAAAACCCCAGGAATGCTTTTCATTTGATTTTTTTTTCCATTTTTGTTTTTTCTTAAAAAAAAAGAAAAGGAAAAAAAAAAGAAGACTGTTCGGGCACAAAACAAAACCGCATTTCCAGTAAGTGACAACATCTTAAAAATGTCAGTGTTTGTTTTTCTTTGACTTTTTATGAGACCTGTGTGGAGACCGGGACTGGGATCTGGATTTCTTCCCTGACTTTTTAGGGGATCTAGACCGTGATCGCCTAGACCTTTTAGGTGTCCTTGAACCAGATGGTGATCTGAGGAAACAAACAAAAACAAGTGATCAAAATGCTCACATGGCCAAACACGACTATCGTAAACCAACTACAACTACCTTTAGCAGGGCAGTGAAAGCCACTGAAAAGCCCAACATACCCACTTCTGCACAGCTGAGCCAACTGTGCGTCCCCAGGAGTCTCAATGGTACACGTGCTCCACAGGCTCCTGGCCTGACACTGCCCAGGAGCCAACATGGAACCAGGATTTGAAACAAGTCCCCCGGGTTACTGGGACTGCATTTAAACCTAAACATCCATTAGGTTAAAACACAAAATGGCACGGACTTATACTACAACAGCACTTGGAAACGGGTGTGCGGCCCATTAGCTAGCAGAGGAGGCGCGGCCACGGCACCACCGTCCAAGCGCTTCCCTGAGAACGTCGTGGCAAGACACAGAGCCACCTGTGTCACCGGCAAAGCAGAAAGCCACCAATTTTATGAAGATTTTACTAAAAAGAGCGTTTAGGGGTTTCACATATCAAACTGTTCACTTAAGCTCAGGAGAATTCATATGAAAACAAAATCAATAAAACATGTTTGAACCACTTTGCGAGAACTGCAATAAAAAGCATGTTAACATACACTGCACAACTGATGTAGTTATAGTCCTTATGCTCAGTCTGCGAAATTACTGTGGAGAGAGCTGTGAAGGGGTCTGAGGAGAGTTCTTCAGCCTTCACCCAAGTCAAAGAATGTTCTAGAGAAAGGAAGTGCAGAGAGGAAAGCAAAGCAGCTGTCCTACCCGCAGGGACACGCTGTCCCAGCAGCTGAAGTGCCTGGCTGCTCTTCGCTACAGGCTTGGGCTCCTCTGACCAAGAGAGGACAGGTTGGAAAGTGGAAAGAACAATCGAAAGTGAAAGCAAATCTCTTTGGTGTTTCTGATCCTCCAAAAAATGTTTTAAATAAAAAAGTTAAAAGGCTGCCAACTGATTTTCAAAAGCTGGTAGAGTAACAAGGAAAGCGGCATTGGAACTGTTACCCACAACCAAAGGACTCGATTTACCTTTTGGCCTTTTTGCTAACATCTCTGGGAGAGTCTTTGTGAGACGACCTGGACCGGGAGCTTTCCTTATGAGATCGCTCTGATCGCTCCGACTTGGGCGACGGGGATTTCACTCGTCTACCACTGCTACTGCGAGACGGGCTAGGGGACGCACTGTGCCGCCTCTTCCTACGGAACAAAGCCCCCCACACACCAGTGAGCCAGGTCAGACTCATCCGCTTCCCAGTGAACAGACTCCTAGTTACCCGGACTCCATCAGTGCTACCCGGAACAAAGCCCCACGCACCAGAGGAAACCAGGGTCAGACTCTCCTTCCCGACTAACCCTCAACTCCTGCTAACGTCCTGACTCCACTGGCGTGATTTCCCAGCCACACCCAAAGCCCTCTATTCCAAGGAACTTGTTAAAAACAGATCGATGGGAGAAAAAAATTCGATCTTACTAAACTGATTCTTCTTTTCCTACAGGAGATCATACTGGGTTTATGGGCAAGACTCCATTAAGGTCTCTGATTCAGTCTTTAACATTAACTTCCTGAGCTTCTGTTTCCTGAAAATTTATTATGATTATCTAAGAAAAGGGAGCACCATACTGATAAGTGACTTTTAAAGGTTGGGAGAAAAGGAAGGAAGGAGAAAAAGAAAATAAAGCCCAAGCAAAACTGTTCACGTTTGGGGAATGTGAGTGAAGGATCCCTATGAATTCTCTATGTATTTCCACAAATCTGAAATATTAAAGTAGTAAAGTGACAGATTTGTAAAGCCAATTAGTGTGACTGCTATTTGAAACTATCTGTAGAATGACTGAACCAAAAATCTTTCTTTTTTAACATTGGCTTTTTTAAGGGAAACCACAGTCCTGTTAACTAAAAAAAAATTCTCTAAAATCAGAAATTTACAGAATTCACAGAAATAAGAACTAAAGAGAAGTAATTTGGTTAGAATGAGGACTGAGAGTAAGGCGCGCAGCCCTATGCGTGTAATCTTCTTTTCACACAGGAATGAGAAATTGAGGCTAGCAGCCTCAGCATACTGACACCAGAAGAAATGCTTATACTGAAGGCAACGAGGAAGAGAGCGCAAGTTGCTGAGTTATTCAAGCCTCAGGTTAGATATTTAATACAGTAACTGAACTCTCACACTGCACTAAGGCTAAGGTACCATCTAAACCGTGCAAGAAATGATGTCCCAGTTAACCAGGCCAAGTGCCAACTGCCCCATTTCTCAGCTAATTCCGCCTCCTACAGGCAGGAAACAAATATGTTCATGAAGAAAAAATATTCGGCCAATGTGCTGGCATCAGGAAGGAAGATACCAAATAAACAACACCCCAGACTTCGAAGGTCACATCTACATGAGGAAAGACCACCCACCTTTCCTTCCTTGTTGGAGTACACTCATCCTTTTCCTTTTTGTCTTTGGATCGAGATTCCAATTTTTCTTTATCCTTCTTATCTCTTTCTCGTTCTCGTTCTAATTCTTTCTCTTTCTCCTGTTTAAAAAGAGTATTTGGTTATTGAGGGGAGAAAACAGCCTCAGTCGATCTCATTCAGGTAACATTATGTAGTATTTACATTCCTCTCCTAGTTAACTATTTTTCCAATCATTATTCCAAGTACACCTTTCTTTTAAAAGGTGCTCTTTAAAAGAATAGCCAGGGTCTGGAGCAATAGCATAGTGGGTAGGGCATTTGCCTTACATGTGGCCGACCCAGGTTCAATTCTCAGCATCCTGTATCGTCCCCCAAGCACCGCCAGGAGTAATTCCTGAGTGCAGAGCCAGAAGTAGGAGTAGCCCCTGTGTAATGCGGGGTGTGACCCAAAAAGCAAAAAAAGAAAAAAAAAAAACCACCAGTTCCTCTACTTGTACTGAGCATGACACTAGCAACAGAGATGCTGAGTGCTTGCCAAGAGATCTATACTTTGCATCAATCAATTCATGTAGCACTGTAGCACTGTTTGCCCGTTGTTCATCGATTTGCTCGAGTGGGCCCAGTAACATCTCCATTGTGAGACGTGTTGTTACTGTGTTTGGCATATTGAATATGTCACAGGTAGCTTGCCAGGCTCCCCAAGAGGGGCGGAGGAATCGAACCTGGCTCAGCCAAGCCAGTCGCACGCAAAGCATAGGAATAATACTGTTATCTTCATTCTCAAATAAAAAATGAATTCAGAAAGATTAAGTACCATTCCCATGAGCCCTTAATGATGAAATCAGATGTGAGCCCAAGTTCTAATGCCACTGCTCTATGGTTCCACCTAACACAATAAACAAGCCACTGGGGCTGGAGAGATAGCACAGCGGGTAGGGCATTTGCCTTGCACGCGGCCGACCCGGGTTCAATTTCCAGCATCCCATATGGTCCGCCGAGCACCACCAGGAGTGATTCCTAAGTGCAAAGCCAGGAGGAACCTCTGAGCATCGCCGGGTGTGACCCAAAAAGCAAATAAATAAACAAGCCACACCCCCTCAACCAAAAAGCAAACAATCCACCAAGCTTTCCATCTTAGATAGCAATAGCATTCTAATGCTACAGAAAGTTGACATAATCCAAAGAGCACTTTACCAAAGCAACAGGCTAAAAAATGGCTGAAATGGCTAATAGCAGTAACTGTCTACCAGAAAATTCTAACAGTAAAAGGCAAATACCAATTCTACTGGCAATTTTAAGTATTAATTTATAAAGTACAAACCAACCACGTAACAATACAATTCTAGAAACCAGAAAAATAACTTATTTTATCTCCAGCTGTTATAATTGCCAATTCTCAAACAAAATGAGCATTTCCACAGATCACTACTTCGCACATGACTACTGAGAACATCATTTCTCTCCTGTGGGCGCATGGAGAGGGCCATGGAACCCGGCTTTGACACTGGCCCTGGGAAGGCTGAGGAGCGCCGCCTCCACCCTACTGCCCACATGGACCGGACACAGCCTGGCGCCGTCACAGCACTCGGCCCTGGGCTTGCTGTGTCTGTCCTTGAATGTAGGATGTGCTGCCCTGACATTTCTTCATCTCCCTGGAGAATCCAAAGACGCACACACACAACATACACACACCGCCCAAGAGGCAGAGTAGCATTACAATCCTTCCTCCCTTAGAAATGTTTCAGCTCACCAAGCGTGTTTCCTGCTGCAGTGTCTGAGAGTCTCTGTCCTGAGCATTCAACACTGTCACTATTGCGCTGAACGCCAGAGAACAGCGCCTAGCTAAGCCGTGTCCCAAGGAAAATTCATGTAATTTTTAACAATCAGGGAAGTGCCACAAGCTCCCAAGCTAGGTGGGCAGGTTGAGTGACAGCCTCCTCCTGGTCACTACCGTGGCAGAGGGAGAGAGGACTGGACACGTGGCATGTGTGGCACCAGTAGCACGGTCTCGCATGCAGATCAGAGTCCACAGAGCACACACAGAGCTCACTCTCACCCCAAGCATCTCTTTTCCAAATACCACATATACAGAAGAAAATTTAAAGAGTGATACTGTGGAATCTTCCTCTGATGGTCTACAGGCTGGCTTTACTTTCCTAATAATCGTCTTTCCAAAACCCAAATTTCATTAAGTACTCGCACACCTAGTACTTATAAAACTATTTTCGACATTCTGACCGAAGGGCAGAGCGCTGGCCTCCAGGCCGGAGAGCTCACTCTACATTCGGGAAGCCTGGGCCCCATCACTCGTACTGCATGGCTCACCAAGGGCTGACCAGAGTCAAAACCATCAACAAAAAAAGATCAAACTTGGGTTGCAGGGGCCTGAGGTAGCACAGGGGAATAAGGTCTTGAATGCAGCCGAACCTGGTTCAATTCCTGGCAGTGCATATAGTCCCCTGAGCACTGACTAGGAGGGACCCCTGAGCAGCACCAGACCTGGCAGCATCTGCTCATTGGAGATTGCAGCCACGGGGCCCATTAGGAAAATGACTGAACCCTGAGCTCCTGTAGAGCCCTGCAAAACTGGGCTCCCTCCGTGACTCCGGAGTGCCCAGCAGAGCCCCCAGGAGGGCTGTGGGGTGCGTGCACTCCTAAGTCGCCTTCCCACACAGCCTCTCTCTCCCCTGCCAGGGCTGCTTTTTCCGTTTCTTTCTGGATACCCTTGTTTTGAGAAGAAAGGCACAGGTACGATTAGGAGCAGTTCCAGCCGAATTCCTGAGCTCCTTCAACCATTATCACAAGGGTTCAAGTTCTCAAGTTCCCTCCATCTTCCCACTTCCTGTGTTTCAAGTCCAGGGTCTTAGAATTCATAGATGAGGTATGAATTCACTGCTCCCAAAGACCCATCCTTGGGAGCAAGGGCAAAGTAATGAACTTGACCCTGGCTCCAGGATCTCTCTCAGCCTCATCTCGGCCCGCTGGCCCAGCTCGGAGTCTTGCTGTCACAATGTGATCAGGCCCATAGCACTTCCAGTTTGCAAGTCGGATGTTAGCAGAATCATCTGGCTCACAGAGGATCCAGAAGAAAATCGTGTGTCAGTCCCCTCAAATTCTCCTCCAAGTTGAAATCCTGGTACACATCAAATTTCAAATGTCCCGAATGATCTATCAGAAGCCAGCATTTGTACATCCAAGTATAGAAACTGAAACTGACTATCTTGGTCAAGTACACAAATATATACTCTAGTTAGCTGGACAAGAAACTCTGGAAGCAGAAATCACGAGGCAGAAAACCACATGACTGAGCTCAGCCCTTACCCGCTGAAGAAGTTTATCCCGATAGTGTTCAACTTGCTCCTGAAAGCTTTGGCCTGGTTTTTTAGGTCTTTTTCCGGATTCCAATTCATCCTGAAACTTCATAACTTTAAGCTGTGGGGAATGGGGAAAAACAAAAAACAGAACTTTAGATTTGAGAAAGTGTTGGAAAGTACACATATGTAACGCGAGTTAAAGGGGAAGGGGCGAGAGGGAGGGCGGGTGGCCAAGTGTCGGGTGCAGGGGTCGCGCCCCTCTTTTCCTGGGAAGCCCCGTCTCCTAGGATCTCAGCACTGTACTGGCAGAGCCTGCGCCAGGACAGCAGAGGGGGAGGAGCAGCCCCGCGGCAGCTCGCTCAGGTGGCAGAAGCCTCTGGAGCAGCAAGTACAGCTCAAACGTCACTGCGACACTGACCTCGATTTCACGGAGCTTGGCTCGCTTCTCCTCACTCATTTCTGAGTACTTCGAGAACTTCGACTCCGTCATTTCCTCTTTGATCGGGTTGGAGTAGAGATGATGTTCCTCGGATTTGGAACTCTGAGTATCTTCTTCATCTTCACTTTCTTCCTCTTGACTTCAGAAAAAAAGAACGTATTGCACGTCAAGGTAGCCACAAAAAGAAATTAAACCAGAAACGTGGCTAATTTGTCACTGCCTTAAAATTTTAACATTTAATTTCGATTCCTCCACCCCTCTTGGAGAGCCTGGCAAGCTACGAGAGTATCTCGCCCGCACGGCTAAGCCTGCCAAACTACCCGCGACATACTCAATACGCCAAACACAGTAATAACAAGTCTCAAAAAAAAAAAAAAAAAGGAGACGTTACTGGCCCCGCTCAAGCAAATTGATGAACAATGGGAAGACAGTATTTACAGTAATTTCTTATGTCTGTTAAAGAACAACTTGGTCAATAAACATATGTTCACAAATTAGCTCCTTTCACCCTGCAACTTTTCCTGCAGCAGTTAAATGAAACATCAGCAATTCTTGCAGCATTAACAGAGGCCTTTAAATGAGACAGTGCCTAAAGGCAATGTTCACCCTTCAGGAGATCTTAGAAACTGTAGCGAGACACAATTTTGAGTCACAGAGAATTACTATCAAGTAATTAAGCCAAGCACAAAGACTATCTGACTAGCAGAGAACTCTAGGAATACAGCAGCCTATAAAGCCTCAAGAATGGAGTGCACTAGGAAGCATGTCAGTTGGTCCTGGAAAGTCTTACTCATCCTGTGTGTCAAAATAAACTGAGTAACCAGTGAGGGCAAAGATAAACAGAGAATTTCTCATCTTTCTAGAAGCAACCTAGAGTAAACAAACTAAGCAAGTGAGCACGCAGACCGTGTGCCAAGCGGCCCCCATGGACACAGCAGTCCTGCCAGTCCTGCACAATGAGGAGAGGCCTTGAACACGGCGGACGCTCAAGAGGCCGGGGAGCAAGCCCGGGTCGGCCACATACAAGGCAAATGCCTGACCCGCTGGACTACTGCTTGCTCACCCTTCAAGCTTGTATTGTCTCGCACAAATATTCCTATCTTTCTCCCCACAACATCTAAGTAAATTTCATTCAATAGAAGATATTTTGCTTCATACAAGAAGAAATCCAAGACTCGTGACCAATACAAGTTCATCCACATGAAATTAATTACTACTTAAAACTTTAGTGCTATAGAGACTTTTACTCATATTTTTGCCACAAATAAAATCATATTTTCAACAGCAGTTCCTAGGCAAAAGCATCTGGATCCAGCCACTAGAGAGCAATAGTGAGGCACAAGAATGAGACAGTTGTAGATGGAAAAGCATTTTTTTCTTGCTTTCAACCTTCAATATTATTTTATTTTTTCCCTGCTTTGTACCTTCAACATGATTTTCTTACTTTGTATTTCTAGTGGCTGATGTTCTCTACTGATATTCTAACACCAATGCAAAATGTATTCAAGTGTATGTATAAAAACATCTTTAGGAACAAAGTAAGAATCATTTTGAGTTCTGCTATGGCTTTTCTACTCCCTTTCCCCTAAATTATTTATGAGTTCAGAGACTCAATTCTACAACTGGCAAAAGATATTACTGATTGTAGACACCAGCATGATAAAAACAAACAAAAAAACCCCACGTCCCATGCCCTGTGGCCTCCAGGGCTCAGAGAACTCTGACCCTCAGCACAGCTGTTGTTCTGTCCCTGAGGGTCGCTGCTGCCAAGCGTCACCCCCCCCCCCCCAATCTCCCCCCGGCCCCCAGCCCCGCCTGCGCAAACCCGACTTTCCACAGGGGCTGAGGAATCTCAATTCTCCGACAACAAAGTGCTAGTAATACCCATCCACTGCACACACAAGTTCCTAACTGTTGCTGGGACACAAGGGGTTCCCCGCTCTAGAACAGTGGGAACCAGAAGCCTGCTCTGTGCTCTCGACGCCACTCTCTTCTCCAACAAACACGAAATGACCCTGGGACAAGGTGTGGCTCAAGTGGCAGAGCTCCGGCCTCGCAGATGTCAAGTACTGGGTTCTATCCTGGCACCACATGCCCTTCAACTCCCAGTGGCTCCCAAGAGCCTCCCTAGACAGGGCAACCAGAGAAACCCTAGTTTTTCCGGGGTGCTTATGTTTGAGGAACCTAACGGAACAGTCATGAGGCAGTATCCTTCCTTGGTAATGCCTAACCCGAAAGCAACAGATCATCACATTCACATCTTAAAATCACTTTTGTATGTGGTGCTGAAATAATATTTGATGACAAAGATTGGAAACAAATGCAACTGACCATTCTGTAACTACCAAGTGAAAAAACATAAGCTAGTGCTGAAAAGTAAACTCAAAAAGCAAACTGAAACCAAATGCATTAAGACCAGAAAGCAAAAGCTCCTTATTCAGTAGAAAAACAATGGAGAACACAAAATCGCCCTCTTAATAAGCATTTTAAACGGTGAAGTTTTCTTCACTATTATTCCAAGTGTACCTATTAATGAAGAAAGTGTACATGCAGTAAGAAATAGTATATTCGGAACTTAGATTCTTACTTTTGATTTTCTTCTTCTTCTGATTCTTCATGCTGGTCAAATAACTCCCACTTAGAAGTCGTTACCGCTGAATGGAAGGGGAAAAGGGATTTAATTCCATAAGGAAAGACAGCACTTCTGCAGTAACACCTCAGAAGCACTGCCTGAGAATTTAAAGTTTCAGTCACATTTTTATTTACACTTATCTATTATTGACTATTTCTATTTCTTTCCTCACACCTACACCACTTTGTTTACACACAAGAGGTAACAAATAGTGTCTTCATTACTTCTTGTTGGATGGTTACGATTTATTCCATTAGAATCTGAAAGTACTGAGGATTACAGGTTGTGAGCAAGAGGACACATGCCCAGGTGATAAAGACAAGTCTCAAAATTTCAACCAAGCATGGGTTCTGAAACTGATCTCTATCTAAGTGGATTTAAAGCCAGTACAGAGTTCCATTTACCTTAACCTAAAAGAGTTTCAGATTTTTCTGGTCATTTTTCAAAGCTTCCAAACTAAAGGATCAAAGAAAATTTTGACAGCAACCACAAAGAAAACTTCTCACTCAACAGATACGGCAGTAATCAACTGGATCTTAAGACTTAAAACATTATAGAAACATTATAGAACATAAAAGAAATACAACCAATAACTAATTCTGCTACTGCTTCTGCTTTTTTATCATAGAAAAGAGCTTTAAAAGGCTTTTGAAATTTGCTGTTTATTGTACTTCACTCACCCTGTGCTTCCAACTCAGATTCATCGACAGCCTCCCATTTGGATGGAGCAACTTTGAATATAGGCTCATTCTTCTTTGAATCTTCAGTTGCATCCACTATCAAGAGAAGATGGGCTGTGAGTCATGATTTCCTAGGGAATGTAGTCCCTGGGTATTCCCTGCACTGCGAAATCAAATAAAAGGGCCAGGCGATGGCACAAAGGGCTAGGGCACATGCGAAGCCCCAAGTTCAGTCCATGGCACAACAGGGACCCCCAGCACTGCTTAGTGTGACCAACGCCGGGACTACCTGAGCACCACCACGCGTGTGCCCCCACTTACCAAAAAAAGAAAAAAAAGATAAGGTCACTAGTAGATTAGTACCAGAATTAAGAACAAGCTTGTAGTCAATCCACTTCTCTAACCAGTGGTTAAATGGCATGTTATCAATTCTGAACAGCTAGTTTTTAATTTATGTAAGCAAATTAAGCCACTGCATTAAAAAAAGTCCTCAATACTTTCACCTAATAGACTATGCTTATAGATTTCATAAAGCGTTCAAACATTAAATATGTGATTCAAAGGTACTTAAGTTGCACATAATTCCAAAAATGGTTTTGGACAGCAAAAAAAACTCTTTAACTTCAGAAAATTGGTAATGAAAAGAGCCCTGTGGGGCCTGGGGACTATTCCAGCAGCCTAGGACGCCTGTATTGCGAGCACAAAGCCAAGAGTCCAAGCCGGAGCTGCCACCATCGCCCTCAGTGCAGTCTGGACGGCTCTGGCTGCCTCTGGCAGCTCTGTCATCTGTGATCCTGACTCTGCAGGAATTTCCTGAAGGGACCAAAGCAGTTATATAGCAGGGAGGGAGTTGCCCGGAATGAGGTCCAGCTATTCCCGGCACCCCAGAGGGTCCCCGGAGCACCGCCAGGAGTGATGCCTGAGTGCAGAGCCAGGAGCTAACCCCTAAGCAAAGAAGAAATTTCCTGCCAGTACGTATTATGCAGCCAAGTATGATGACGAGCCTCGTAAAGTGAGGTAGCCCCCGATGAGCAAAGAAATAAAAAGATGTTCGATCAACAGGGCCAGGAAGTGTGATCCCTCATTGAGTTACCACAGCGATCTCCCCCACCAAGCACCACAACCAAAACGTGGAGGAGCACCAAAATGAGTGACATGCACTGTACCTAAGTGTGCAAGGAGCAAGCCTGGTGTATATGAGCCCCTGGGCATGCAACAAGAGGGAGGGGGGAAAAGGTCAGCCAGCCCCATAGGAACATAGGACCAGGAAACCTTTTTCTTGGCACAGTGAAATCTATTATTGGGTATCTGAACTTTGGGGAGACTGGGGAAGGTTGGGCCTGCCAGCTGCATCAGAATGAAGCTCGTTCCCCTCAGGTGCGAGCCGCAGGTCTGCACACTCACGAGGCACTCCATCCAGATCGTCATCGAGACTCTTGATGGGGACCCCGTCCAGGTCATCAATGGGGGTGGCATCGATCGGGATCCCATCCACATCCTCAAGAGGCGCACCATCGAGTTCCTCCTCAATGGGGGCTCCATCAAGGTCATCAGGTACGTCCTGTGCAAACACACATGCTAGAGTTTTGTTTCTGGTTCACTCAAGTCATACTGGCACAAGATTAATTTGCATACCAGTACAAACCAACCAGGTGGAAACAACATTCCCAGTACAATGAGACAACATGGTAAGAAAGCATCATCTATCTAGCCGACAAAGAAGCAATCACCCATGTATTTTATTTACCCAATATTTACTGAATGTTATTGATAGTTATCCTGCAAGAGACTGAGGCTAGAATAATAAGCAAATAACAAGCAACAATGAGCTTGATCATTTCTGTCATTTAGCTGAGTAAAAGGTGAATAAATGGTAAGGGAGGGAGAGGGAAGGAGAAAAGCCTGATCAGATAATGAAAACACACACACACACACACACACACACACACACACACACACACACACCCCACACACACAATCGCGCACCTCCCCCCACCCCCCCATACACATACTTTTCATTTTGCTGGAACCTGTAACGAGCCATTAAAAATATATTTTGGCCTAAAATGTCAAAGAAGACTGACAGCAACTTATGTTTCAACTGAGATCTCGAGGATCTAAGGCTAAGACAAAGCTTCAAACAGCAGGTAAAACACATGTAAAGGTCTATGGGAGAAGCTAACAAGAGGACCACTTGACAGGAACAGGAAGGACAACTGAGGGCCTGGTGGCAGGCCCACAACAGAAACACAGGGAAGATGTCGGGAAGAGCAGGAGGTGCAGGAAAGCAGGGCAGGGCTGAACACAGGCCACGTGTCCGGCTGAGAGCATGGAACCAGACTCCATGCGAAACCAGGCTCCTGGTTTTCTACTAACATCGACTCTTTCATGTCTTCAAATATTTAAAAAATCAAACACCAGCCACCCATTTCCACATGAAAGCAAAACTAGAATTCCTTTTACACATAAGTACATCCTGGGCTCTAATAATTCCAGCAAATTCCCCATGACTAGAAGATACACAAGGGACTTTTCACCAGGAAACGTCCTTCGTACCTGTAACGTGCTCTCAGAAAAGCAATGTTCAGTGGGTCAAACACACAGAGTGCCTACCTCGGTTTCCTTTTCTTCAATAATATTTACAAGTCCTAAGAAAATATTTTGCAGTTTAATCAAAAATGGTTCTGGATAAATTGCCCAATCTTCCCATGCTCTGAAGCAAGTCATTACTCGTTGCTAAATAAAAGAAAAATAAAACCATTACTTCCAGTAATATGTCCCAACTTTAAGTTCACTAAAATGAGTTTGCTGAACTTTCTAAGCTTAACCAATTTCCTTAGTCTTCTTCCCATGGAGGTCTATCTATTAAATTTAAGTAAGGTATTTTGATTGGCTTTACTTTTTTTCATTTTTGGGTCACACCCGGCGATGCACAGGGGTTATTCCTGGCTCATGTACTCAGGAATTACTCCTGGTGGTGCTCGGGGGACCATATGGGATGCTGGGAATCGAACCCGGGTCGGCTGCATGCAAGGCAAACGCCCTACCCGCTGTGCTATCTATCGCTCCAGCCCCTAATTGGCTTTACTTTAATGATAGTCAACAGCTCAAAAGATTTTTATAAAATAAACTGAACAGCCATTAACACTGCCATCAAAATAGCAACTTAAAGAAGTTTCCAAACCAAGCAAATTGAGTTTTATCTCATGTATTTTTAAAGGAACCCCAGCTCCTACCCCTGGTATAAAATACTCAAGTAAAAACAATAAAACAAAACATACCTTAAAGTTTTCAGACTGTAAATGGCCTTGAATTGTACGATATGTAGCATTGAGGTCTGAAAATATCTGACATAACTTTGTTTCAAAACTGAAATTCAAATAACATACTCTTTACAATAGAATTTACTTTAAAATCCCTGTTTACTTCAACATGCTAGTAATGAAAAATCCTCCTCTCTAGAGTCAAAATAACTACCAGTTTCCTAACTGATTAGCAAGGAACTTTACATCAGGGATCCATCCCCTCCAGCGTGTTATTATAACACAGGAAACTTTTAAGTAGAGCACAAACTAGAACCCACATCCTCAAATTTCCTTAAGTTCCTATAGAAAAACATCGCTGATCCTAATTCATCAAACGAGTAACACAGATACACCAAGGAACTGAGCAGGAGTTGTGATCAACTCAGTGACTCTCAGAAAAGAACATCAACTGTAAAAACAGACAATACTGTCTTTGATGTCTGTTCTTTATACTGCCATTAATTTTCAGCTATTACACAAGTGTCTAAACATAATGAAATATTTTAGCTCTTCCTTCCAATTCCACTATATCTAATCAGAAAAAATACTGTGAAGAAAATAAAACTTATATAAGAAAACTTACTCAAACTCGTAATTTAACTTAATGTGGTGTCAAATGTAATAATAACAATAGAAAAAAAAAAACCCTCTAGAAAATTCTACAATTTTCTAGGAAAGAATTCAAATTACTAGGGGAGTTTATTAACAGAAGTATCCTGTTTCCTAAACTTTTTACCCTTAAATATTTAGGAACACTGCATCACATCATCATACTTACAATTTTCTATAATAAGAAGCATTGGCAACTTTGGCTGAAGAGTTGTACAAAACATCAGAAACCAAATATAATCTGGCAATCTAGAATACCAAGAGATTAACATAAAAGGGATTAAAATGTTTAAAATAAGCATATAATATACCTAGAAAATTTCCTACTGGGTTTTTAGAACCAGGAATATAAGGCCACAGTTCCCTAGTTTACTGATCGTAACAGAAGAGCTGTGGAAAAATCAACATCACTACAATTCACCATGCAGAGCAATGAAATATGTCATGTTTCAACTTGTCAAGAAATTCTGTCTATTAACATAGCAAGTTTGTCAGGTAGAAGGAAAATAAGACAACACAGAACAGATCTCTTCAGTCAAGTTCTTTAAGCAAAAACAGAAACCAATTTCAATCCAAAAAAGAAGCCAGTTGGGCCAGAGGGCTGGTACAGAAGACAGGGTGCTTGCCTTGCAAGTGGTCAACCCAGGTCTGGTCTTGGCACCGTATGTGGTGCCCAAGTTAGGCCAGGAGTGAGCCCTGAGCGCAGAGCCAAGAGTAACCCCAGAGTGTAGCTGGGCGTGGTCCCAAAAGAACAAGCAGCAGAAAGGAAGTCAAGTACTACCTACCACTTAGTACTCTAGAGAGGAATCATTTGCATACCTTTTTGGGAAGGGGTGTCTTTAAGATGGACAAAGACTCAGTAATGCAATCCACTATTTCTTCAGCAGCTTCAGCATTATTAAGACAGAAAACCATTGCATCTCCAATATCATTTTTCCTTGGAGTTAATCCCCGCAAGATTTCTTCTAATTTGTCCCTCTGCCTAAACACAATTTGTCAACTTATAAGTATTTGTTAATACAAATTTTAAGTATACTGTTTCCTCACAAATTTCTTGACCCAAATAAGATAAACATCATTCTGAAGACTTGGACCAAGAGACAGTCTGGGGGTTAAGACATGTACCAAGCATCAGCCAGCCCACCTTCCATCCCCAGCACTGTATAGGGTCCCCCAGGTTCCCAGAAATGACCTTCGAGGGCAGGGCCAGGCTTGAGCGCGGCTGGATGTGAACCCTGCATGTGGCCAGTCCTGGCAGTGGCACAGACACAAGGTTCCCAAGCAGAGCATCAAGTAGATTCTGAGCATCCCTGAGAGTCTACTCAAGTATTAGGGGGTTTTGTGAGAACAGATATGAGGAGGTTATTTCTCCTGAAGCTAATATTTAGTTCAGTGATGTTTAACACACAAACTGTGTTTTAGATTATGGGCATTTCTGCCCAAGAGTTCGAGGGTACCATTGCCTATGACTCCTTCATACCGGAAAGAGCCTTCCTGCTCTCCATAGTACTTTGCAGAAGATCTATTCCTCTGACACTCCTACCGAGGAGGTGAGCAGTACTGGAGTAGCTGGTGGTCTGGAGACTGCCCCAGACCACGACAGGCTCTTCCTGCTAAGGACCAGGTCAGATTTCAGACTGTGCAAGCCATACTCTCTCTGATGTGGGCCATTATTGACTCTGCTGCCACACCACCAAAGAGTTTGATGCAAAGTGGCCTAACGTGGCCTCACGTCCCGACAGGCCTTCCAGACTCAGCCTGTGAGGTCAGTGCTCAGAGCCGCGTGGAAGAGCGATGATCAGCTTTCCATCCACGTGTATGCAGGCTAGGGAGCCACACGTAGCAGTGCTCAGGGCTTTCTCCTGGCTCAGCACTCAGGGCTCACTCTTGGTGGGCTCAGGGACTATGTGGCTTCAGGGATCCAAGCCAGTGAGCAGCAAACAAGGCAAAGGCAAGTGCTCGACCTATGGTGCTCTGGCTCCGGCCCCAATAAATAGTATCTTCTGTTCGCCCCACTGCTGTAAACAACTTCACGCCTTCAAGACTGCACAGTGACAATCTAACACTACACTAAATGTCCCGGGGACACAAGGTTGTGCAGGGACTGAACTCAGGGCCTCAGATACTGGGGGCAGACAGCCACCACTGAGGCACATCACTGACTCCTTAAGCCAAACGTTTCCATGAAGCAGGGGCTGGAGCGATAGCACAGCGGGTAGGACGTTTGCCTTGCATGCAGTCGACCCAGGTTCAATTCCCAGCATCCCATATGGTCCCCATAGCACTGCCAGGAGTAATTCCTGAGTGCATGAGCCAGGAGTAACCCCTGTGCATCGCTCAGTGTGACCTAAAAAAGCAGGAAAAATAAAAAGTTTCCATGAAGCATACAGAGCTTCCACTGGCCACCGAGTTTTTCTTTCTCCTTGCTTCTTGAGCAGGTTGAAACTGTACAGCAGGGGGCTGGAATGGTGATTGTACAGGGGGGAGGGCACTTGCCTTGCTCGCGGCTGACCCGAGTTCAATCCCTTGCACCCCATACAGTCGTCCAAACCCCGCCAGCAGTAATTCCTGAGTCAGGAGTAGAAAACCCTAAACAAGCCGGGTGTCAATAGAACAATCCTCCACAGCAGTGCTGACTGGGCACCTGTGGTGAATCCCAGTGCCGACCAGAGGGGTTCACACAATCAGCCGTCCTCCCCCTTAATGCAGGCATAAAATACTCCTCGTGTTGCAAGGAGAGGTGAGAACTCTTTTTCTTTTTTTTTGCTTTTTGGGTCACACCCAGTAATGCTCAAGGGTTACTCCTGGCTCTGCACTCAGGAATTACTCCTGGTGGTGCTCCGGGGACCATTTGGGATGCTGGGAATCGAATCCAGGTTGGCTGCGTGAAAGGCAAATGCCCTACCCGCTGTGCTATCACTCCATCTCCAGAGGTGAGAACTCTAAGCACCCCTGGATAATTTCTATTCCCCATCACTAAAGAAGTCAATCCTACAAGTTTTTACAGTAGCAACTGCGGGAAAGTCACAAGCATAAAGACCCATACTTGCCAAGGAGTTTAAATGATGAGAGATACTACTATCTGTAACACTCACAAGTTTAAAAAAAGAAAAAAAAAACTTTACGGTTAACATCTTAGTAAGACCACTAGTTAAAGCAACTATCACAACCGACTTTCCTGAATATATTAACAGAAGGTGGGGGGGGAGAGCTTACTCTTCCTTAAGTGCTCCCTTTTTACTAGGTTCCTCTACAAAAGCTTCCGTTTCCTGCTCCTCCGACATCCCATGCAGGTATGGATTTAATGGTGGTGGTCTCCAAAATGATCCATTTTTGAACATACGAAAATCTTCCGTACGCCACTTAGTTGGAGAATCTCCCTAATAAATGCAAAGAATGGTCATTAGAAATGTCTAATACTTCTATCAAACAGCTTATAACATTCTTTGTACTACTGGTGCAACAGCATTCACCGTAACAAAATTACATTCAATGCCTTAAAAAACAAAGAAATATGGTTCTGCTATAAAGTCAATGAACCAAGTAACTGTACTTGCCTGCAGAATAGAATAAAGCTTCCACCGATAGTAAACATGGGCTGGTGTCTGGTTTTCAAACAAGAACCTGAAACAAACAAAAATCAAACATTGAACAAAAACCTGTCTTCAAGTCACTGTAAATAAATTAGTTCCAAATAAAAGCAAAGCGCCCAGAGACTCACCCCCAGCCCTCTGGTGTTGAGGCACTTCCTCACCCAGACCTGGGGGTCTAGTGACTTAACATTAATAATCGGGGGGGGGGGGGGGGGGGAGAAGGGTTCCATCAGGCTGGTTTATACGCAATTCTCAATCTCAGTGAACTGTCAGATACTGTGTGTGGCACAAAACAGATTTTTCCCACAATACAGTTTCAAAAGGGTGGTTTAAAACTGCTTCAGTAACAGTGTTAAACGTCAAGTCTTGTACACCATAGCTACTGGAAGATAAGCAATTCCTATAAACCTCTGTGCTTTAATACTCTTATTTTAAAGTGGGAAATTATTTTCCTTCTAAAGAACACTGGGAGGGCCCGCGGAATCATATGGCAGGGAGAGCGTTTGCCTTGCATGCAGCTGACCAGGGTTCAACCGCGCCACCCCATATAGTCCCCGAGCACCACCAAGAGTAAGGAATTCCTAAGTGCAGAGCCAGGACTAGCCCCTGAGCATTGCCAGGTATGATCCAAAAAACAAAAAATAATATTTAAAAAAAAAACATACAGAAAAAGGAAAAAACACTGAGAAACACTGCAACTGCATCAACTGTATTGAACCCACATGTAAAACACCCCCAAGACCCTGGATTATCCAGGCACGCCTCAGAGACACTACAGGTTTGGCTCTGGACTGCTGCACGTAAGCCAATGTCACCAGAGTCAACTCAACTAAATGGTTTGGTTTCCTAGCATGCAGGAAAGTTATGCTTACACCACAGGACAGCCTAAAGTGTGCGCTGATGTCTAAAAAGTAACTATCTTCATTCTAAAATATTTCCATTGCAAAAAAAAAGTGAGCACAGATGCTACTGGAAAAAGTGGTTGCCAGAATCCAGGTATCTGCAAAGCAAACGAAAGCACAACAAAGCCAAGGGTGTGCACTAGAGTTTGAGGACTAAAACCAACTCGCACTTCACGACAAACAAACCTCACTTTCCCAACTTTTTTCTTGGAAATACATTTAATTCCCAAAAGTAAGTTTAGTCATTTTAAATGCACACTCGATGATAAATGAAATGGGGTTTATACATTCAAAAAAACATTATTCTGCGTCAAAAATTCAGACAGCTGTCAGAAAAGAGATGAACCTTGGGGCCACTGTGCTAAGTGCAAGTCAGTCACAAACATAAAACACTGCACATTCCACTTTCAAGAAGTCCCTTGAAAGTGGAATAATATATAATAATAAATAATATTAATTTTATTATTATTATTCCAAGAGGAAGACAAGCATTGGTTCCCAGAAGCTGGGGACCCACAAAAATGGGTAAGATTGTTTAAGAGACACAGAAGATGAGAAAAGTTATGAGCGTGGCAGTAGCTGCAGAACGTGAATTTACCTAATGCCACCAAACAGTGAACTGCACCTTGCCGTAATTTAAAAAGTGCATACCTGAACATAGGATTGTTGATTTCTCTGTTCATAATCATAGCTTCAAACATTGGCCCTTCACGTACAACAAACTCTATCATTCGGTGTATCAGGGCGAGCAAATTCCTACAACAACAACACAGTTAAAGAAAATGGATTCGGACCTACCACTCTATAAAACTACACTTGATCTAAGTTACTACAATTGTGCAGAAAAAGATTATTCCGCTGACTAATACAGAATTTTACACCCAAAAAGCTGGAGCATGTTAACGCCTTGTGCATTAAGGAGGAGGGGCAGTGGGAGGGGGGCAGTGGGAGGGAAAGGAGAGGTGGGGGGAAGGCAGGAGACCACAACACAGCTTCATAGCAATCAAGAACCCATTGTCTAAATGTCACTTAATTTATTATTCAAGTGCAAAACATTAATTTACGAATCACAACTAATTGGAAAGCTGCAAATATGTACAGTCAGTAACTTAGAGCTCACATGTTATCACAACCGTCTAAAAACTTGGACACTATCTCAGTTTAAAAATAACCCTAAGCCAAAGCACTCTAGTGGTGCTACAGAAATGATAAACATGGTTGTCATCTCTAAAAATGCCAAACTACTTAACAAGGTTAAGGCCTTATTTAATAAAAAATCCATCCAGCTCTTGTGCTTTTCTAGCACGCTCGTAGCAGACGGAGTTTTTATTGAATCTGACCCTGTAACGAGGCAACATCCCTTTGAACCACACTTCAAACTAGTTTACACAATTCATACGCTTAAGCCTGACTGGAGATTCTGTCATGAGTCAGCAATCGTGCTGCCAGAGCCTGCAGAGTCCTCCTTCCAGAATGTTCAGAACAAAGGGACACGGTGAGCTGCCCTTTCTATTTTCCATTATTTTCCAAGTCCACGATACACAGAATTTGAGCAACTTTTTACAGTACAGCCATATTATTGGCCGGCCTCATGAAAGCATTTCTAAATTCAGAAGCTGGGTCATAAAAATCACAGGATGCCTTAAATTGGACTCCAGGCACAGTTTTTAGACACTGATAACACCATCAGGCAACTGATTCCGCTTATTAGAAGCTGCGTTAGGCTTCTCTTCTCACCAGCTCCCCACCACACAGAGTTGGCAAAGAACAATGGGGCAAAGCAAAAGGATATTGGCTCTTGGTACAAGGCACATACTAAATTACACCTTCGGCATTCCAGCTCAAATTAAGTTCACATTACTGCCTGAATGTAACTATAGGTAGAAAGACAGATTTTTCTGGCTCCCTGCTTCAAAGTACACGAACAGTACATTTCTCTCATAGTGATTATCCTTATTTTCTTACAATTTTCAAGCGAACCTACTTAAATGAACACTAAAATCTCTACATAATAAAAAACAATTCTAGGTTTTAAGTCTTTACAAAGGGTAATATGTATATAAACTTTCATTCGACCCTAAAATTATTAAAGCAAAAAAGCATGAATTTTAAATCTAAAAATTAATTTTCCTTTTACAGTACTAATTAACCTGCAAATCTGCAGTTTCTTGATAGCCAAATAATGCACTCTCAGCATACATATGGCCAAGGACATTTTGAAGGAAGGGAGATAATATGAAATACAATTCGTTTCAACACTCCCACTGGTGTGTGTTCAAGTTGAAGGGAAATTTTAAATATAATATAAAATCAAATACTAGGTGGACAAGTGTTATAGATCTGGAAACTTGTACTAATTAAGTCAAAAGCAACTTGGCTTGAATATTAATAGATGGAAAATGGTTTAGAGCAAGTTTAAAACAAAGATTTCATTGTAATGAGTCAAGACTTTTCAGCAAAATATATACTCAAGTAAGCTGAGCCACCTGTAAAACTACTGCTGAGCGTTTTTGAATGGTACAAAATTCCGTTCCTGTAATGCTTTATCAGTGGAAAAATACCACTCTAGTTTTAAACAGGCTTGTAACTACTAAAATCTTTTTAGAAAATTAAAAATTTCAGTTTTAAAATGTTGATGATTATTTAAAATCAAAATCTGACAATCAGTTACTAACCTGAATTCAAGACTATTAAGGAATTGCATTCACACTCTTTTTCCTTAAGAATTGTGTGTTTAATATCTTATTTCAAAAGGTTAACTTTTTCTATCAGAAAGAAACAGTGTAGTACAAAAAGATAAATTTTAAAGTGCATTAATTTATTTTAAAATGGTAATTATCTTATTCTGGGCAACAACAACAAAAAAAAAAACAAAAAAATTGTCTCTCAGTTATAATAAAACCACATTTATTGGAGTCGATCGTACCAAAGTCTGGTCAAAAACTGTATACTTTCCCAATCCATCCCATGATGTTTTCCTGGTCCCCCGCTGCCGCAGACAGTTCAGCTGGTGTTGCTCACCAAGGCCAATGTCAAAGAGAATTTGGTATTCTTTTGTGTTCATTTATTATTCAACCAGTGTTGTGTTCCTGTGTTTGGGAAAGGGCTTAGCTTGACTGAGCAAGAGCGTACCTAGAGCATGAATTCTTCTGCTTTAACATTACGTTGAAAAAAGAAAAAGGAAAGGAAGGAAAATAAAGGAATCCCAAACACCTTTATTAGGAAAAAGTTTCTAGTATGTTCAGTGTTCGCAAAAATAAGAATTTCTTCTTAAAATCAATTAGGAAAAAACAAAAATATACCTTCTGTGAGATCTCAAACTAAGGTTGCTTGCATATTAAACATAGATAATCCAGAAACCAAGAAAAAAACAATATAGCATCTAAATTTTACTACACATTTAAAATACCTATTTACCCATCATTGTCTATCATTAGACTAACAACTCAATATTAAACTATTAAATACATTCCAACTACCAATGCTACAAAATTCCCTTTACTGAAGCAATTAAAAAAAAGGACACAAAATAGCAAAGTATACTAAAATTAGTTAAATTTCACATATTCCCCGCCCCCCCCAAAAAAAGTACTGGGAAGAAACCATTGCTCAGTCAAGATACCTTTTCCTCAACACCATATTTGTTTAATTCAGAAGGGGATATTGTCTATATTTAGATCAGTAATAATAAAGAAAAACATGTACCTTTCTGTTGGGATAACCACTTTGACTATGGCTTGCGACAGAGTCTGTATATGAAGTCACATCAGATAATAAACATAGAATATGTGAGTATTGTTAACAAGTAACAAGCAAAAATATACATATGCATTGAAAATACTACACATCTAATCACAAGTCTTGCAGGCAATCACTGCACTTGAAGTAATCATACACTAAGCAATTACATAAATGCAAATGGGTGTGTTCGGTGAACAGTAAATGTTCACCCAATGCAGAGAATCAGAACATTCCTGCCAGAATGCACATCAATGCACTGAAATAGGTACTACACTGAGAATTATCAGATAAAGATTTTAATTTGTGAAATAATTAACTGTTTGCCTCTGACCATACAGTTTGCTTACTTTGTTCCCAAGCCTTTAAAACCAGCCCTGCCATTTTAAGTGTAATTCATTCGTAACAGAACCAACGAATTCTTCTAGTTTGAAATTAAGTTGGTTTTATGTCAAATAAAAAGAAAATACTCACCCTTTGCTTTTACTAGAGTAATTAACTGTTTTATGAAAAAAAATAACACACACACATACACACACACACACATACACACACACACATATGCTCTCAAATATTCTAACCCCAGATCTCAAAAACTAAGTTATCTAGCTGCCATCCACATAGTTTGACTATTTAGGAAGTCTAATTGAAGTCACTTAGCCAAATACAAAGTATCAACTTTCTCAAAACAAAGTAAACTTAGTGTACTTAAGCAAACCTGGATACAATAGTGGACAAGGGGGAGGGGACTTAAGTGGTCAAAAAAGAAATGGTATAGCCACAAATAAAAATATGACCTAGTATTATTTCATTACAGGTTTTCCATAGGCTAAGGCAGGGAACACATCTCTTTATTTCAATTTTCAGAGTTGTCAAACAGAATTACACACATTTTCTATAAAATAGTTGAAAAGAAATGCTACCATAGATTTAGTATTTACAATTAGATGCGGCCTATATACATTTTTTAAATTACCTTCTCAAAATCCTCCTTGTTTTTGGGTGGCGGTAACATAGGAGCGTTGGGGTTTTTTAAGCGCTCTCTGGGCTGCGCATTGAAAGGCAGTCCCGACGGGGGCGGGGGAAGCGTGTGCTCCATCATGGACGGCGGGATGTAGATGGGGTGCGGAGGGATAGGGACGGCTTTACCCCAACCTAGCTTCATTTCAAAAGACATTATCATCTTTCCTACAAGAAATAAATGAAAGGTCATCCGGGTAAGTCTCAGAAGAAAAATAAAGAAGATTTCCAAGCATCTGAACTCACTCTTCTGTTCTGGTGCTATACCTGGCTGGCTCGGGGCTTACTCCTGGCTCAGCACCCGGGATCACTCCTGCAGGCCTTGAGGGATCAGAGTGCCAGGAACGGAACCTGGGCTGGTGCATGCAAGGCAAACGCCCTACCTGCTGGACTATCACCCGTGGCCCCAGACTCTCATTGCTAATTAACCTTTCAATTTCTGGTTCAGTCCCTCCTTCTCTCCCCTACCCTAGCCCCTGTTTCCATAAGCACTTTTTTTTTTTTTTTTTGCTTTTTGGGTCACACCCAGCGATGCACAGGGGTTACTCCTGGCGCTGCACTCAGGAGTTCCTCCTGGCGGTGCTCAGGGAACCATATGGGATGCTGGGAATCGAACCCGGGTCGGCCGTGTGCGAGGCAAACGCCCTACCCGCTGTGCAATCTCTCCAGCCCCTCCATAAGTACTTTTCAGAAGCAAAAAATAATCATAATAATAAGTTCTGTAAACGAGCAGTAAAACTTTCTTACCATTTAAATTTTTCAAAGCTCTTTCAGCATCTCTTCTGTTCATAAAGGCCACAAAACCACAATTTCTCTCTCTTGCTCTTTCTTCATCAGTTCTAGGCCACATAATTTTCACACTGGCTAATGGGCCAAATCGCCCAAATTCTTGGCACAGCATTTCTTCATTCATCTATCAAAAAGTGTAAGTTTTTCAGTGTGTGTGTGTGTGTGGGGCGGGGGGGGGGGGGGGGGGGGGGATCTATGCATCAGAAACCAAAGCAGTCTTTGTGAAAGAAGATAGGGTTAATAGTGTTGACTTCCATTTCAAATACTACAACAAGAAGTTTACCCAGGTGAAACCCCGCCCTCTTGAGAGAGACAATAATCTTCTGAACAGAAACTTCCCACTTTGTGTACATTACGTGCTAAAACAAAGAGGCTACTGGGTAGGTTAACATCCTCCCAACACCCCCCCATCTCCCTTCCTTTTGAGTCTACACCTGAAAATCTGTTCTATCGGGATTTCTTTAGACACTGAGCAACTAAGGAGGAAATATGCTGGCAATGAAAGAAAAAATAAGATCAGATTACTTTCTGCCAGCACAGTTATGAGATTAATCCTAGATACAGGTATGCTCAATTTTGCTTTTTGGTTACTATCACAGTGGTGCTAGGGATCAAATCCAGGGCCACACAGCAAGTGCTCTACCAAAGAGTCACATTCCTGACCCCCAGCTAACCTGTAGAATCAAGAATGGAGAACACAGAAAATGATTAAATATACAATGAGGTCCAAACTATAAAGGATTTTTTTTCCTTTTTGGGTCACACCTGGCAATGCACAGGGTTTACTCCTGGCTCTGGACTCAGGAATTACTCCTGGCAGTGCTCAGGGGACCATGTGGGGTGCTGAAAATCGAACCCAGGTCGACCGCGTGAAAAGGCAAATGCCCTACCCACTGTGCTATCGCGCCAGCCCCTCCATAGTTTTTCTTTCTTTTTAGGATATACAAGTTTTTTTGAAGCAGAGAAACACTAAAGATAAAACCAAAGTTTTTCCCATCAAGGGGAGAGGAGTTGGGAAAGTAAGAAAGGAAACACCAGAAGGTGATGATTTCTCAGGATTAGTGACCACTGCCAGTATGTCCAGACTTGATGAACAGAATGAGTACCAGCAACACATTTCAAAGGCCTTTAAGAACTGCAGCAAGGCAGGCTGAGTATTGCAGGGGAGCGCTTGCCTTGCACGCACACAACCTGGGTAGATGCCCAGCATGAGATGGGCCCCCAAGCACTGCCAGGAGTGATCCCTGGGTGGAGAGACATGAGGAAACTCTGAGGACCACTGTGGACAGCCCACAAATTTTTAAAAAACAACAGAAAATACGAATTGTAGCAACTGTAGCATTCTGGGCCCCTAGCAGAATGCCTCAACTTGAGGAGAGAAAGATCAACTAGTCGTTTCACCCATCTGTTTACTTCAAGCTCCTGTCTCTTCAATTTTCAACTTCACAGCCAAACAGTTTCCATCCCCGAATGTAAAGCAGGCACAGGAGGCAGGACACAGGCGTTGCCTGCACTCTAACTGGGCTGAACCCCCGATCAAGTGATTTCTCAAGCACTGCCAGCGGGTTCAACTGATACAACTGCCCTGGCCAACCAACGGGCAGCCCAGCTGGCCGAGGACCCAGGGAGAGCAGCATTTAACTGCTCGTTCTAGATTACCTGTGGGTTTATGTTCCCAAGGTATAAGTTAGTAGTGCTCGGATCTCCAACATCGTGTGAACCAGGCGCATAATCATCCAGAACTAGGACAAGAAGTAAAAAAGTTATAACCTAAAACTTACAAAATTCAGGCAATTTCTATCAATAAAAAGCAAAAAACTGTATTACCACCAGATGATCTATTTCTTCTTGAAGGTGCATCCACTTTGAAAGGGGGGAAAGAAAACCATTTTTAGTTTTAAGAAAAATAAACTTATATCAAACAAGAACATAAACATACTGTTACTTACTAGAACGACGCTGACCGTCAGAGTCTGCCTGAGGCGGCTCAAACCGACTCAACCTGCCTTTCGTCTTATGTCTCTCATCGCGCTCTTCTTGAATTCTGTTGAAAATATTCATGATCAGTAGCATGAAGCGAAATGTTCACACTTAGAACAGAACTCGTCCCGGTATAACCGGAAGTGTCTGCGAGTCCCAGCAAGACAGGAGCACCTCTACAGCCAGGGGCACCTTCGGACACGCCACACACGCGACTAACTTTGTAAAACCCACTCTCCAGAGAAGAGGAGCTCCCACACTAAAGCCAGTGCATCTTTTCTTGGCTAAGTTCAACCATTCCCCGCCTCTAGACCTAAGGGAATATAGGCTGTTTCACTGCAAACGGGATTCAGGATTTTAGAAAAATCAACTGCATCCCACCCACAGAATGAGAGCCACTTGGATGCTGGTTCTCCCGCCAACTCCTGCTCAAAGACATGCCAGAGCATCACTGTTCCACCTCAGAGTCCTCCTGGTGGCAGCTGCGAACAGGCCTCTCCACTCCCCAAGCCCACATCCGCATCAGCTCGGTGCTCAGCACCCACTCTCCACACGAGGGAACTTACTGTTTCAGTTCTTCTTTGAAGAGTTCCAAATTGCTTTTTTTCTTTTCTTTCTCCCCTTTCTTCAGTGGCTATGAATGATATGACAAGTTCTACTTCAGTAATGAAATCAATGTATCTTATGAACTCCCATTCCTGTTTCTCATAAAGACTATTACTAAGAACACAAACAAAGAGCAGTGTAACTGTTAAAAAAGCCACTGACTTTATCCCCCGGAGACCACCACACTTAGGCCTAAATATACTGCCAACAGAATGGAAAACCAATGAACAGAGATTAACTCAACTGTCACGCAAGGTAATGGCCGCGAACCACCACCAGAATCACCCGTTAAACATCTTCGGCGACTATGACTTAACAAAACCATCAAGAAAAATCTTTCAAATGCCTCTTTTCAAAGTGCATTTGGAATCCCTTTTACGAACACTGAAACATGGGTAAGGATGTGACTCGGGCAGCAAGCAAGGCCATGCACAGCCGAGGCCCTAGCGCCACCTCAGCACCACTCAGCAGCGCCCCACAGCACCCCAGCACTGCCAGCAGCAGCCCCTGAAGGCCCCACGCACCACTGCTGGGTAGGGGTAGGACTCTCCCAAAAGATTCCTTCCAATGTATTCATCATTTAGGTCCAAGGAAATAAATATACATGATCTTTTGTTTAAGAAAGAAAAAAGCTGAAGTAATTCAACGAAGGAGGATAGTCTTTAACAAGTTAATTTCATTTTTTTAAAAAAACATTCTGAACCTCCACGTCACACCAGGCTCAAAAATCAACCATGATTCATAATCCTAACTTAAAACTACAAAACTTTTTTTTGTTTTTTGGGTCACACCCGGTGATGCTCAGGGGGTTACTCCTGGCTCATGCACTCAGGAATTACTCCTGGCAGTACTCAGGGGACCATATGGGATGCTGGTAATTGAACCCAGGTTGGCCGCGTGCAAGGCAAATGCCCTACCCGTTGTGCTATTGCTCCAGCCCCATAAAACTACCAAACTCATCAAGGAACACGTAACACAGGAGTGAACCTCTATGACTTTCAATGGGTACAAGTTTCTCAGAAATGACACCAAAACTGACAAACTGAACTGACCAATCAAAATTAGACATGTCTGTTCTTCAAAGGACACTTTCAAGAATGAGCAAAGACAACCCAAAGAAAGAGAACTGACTCTAGAAGTTGCCAAATACTCTCAAACAATGATAAAAAAGCCAACAATCTGAAAACGTGTTTCCACAGAAGATGCCAATACAATAAAAACATAAAAAGGAAATAAAAATTAATTAGAAAAGTCAAAGTCAAAACCACAAACAGGTATGACCTCATACCAAGATAACAAATCTTTATAGGAAAATTCATTTTAACAAGTGTTGAAGGTATAGCTATGTCAGAATATTGCTGATCCATCTATAAAACAGTATAGCTACTTTAGAAAAGTTTGACGATTTCCCATAATACTAAAAAGGTACCATAGGCCCAAGTCATTCACTCCTAAGTTAAGTGCATTTGAGAGACCAAAACACACTGACACAACACAGTACATGAATGTTAACAGCAGCAGCATTACAACCAAAGGGCAACTACCTCAAGAATCTCTCAAATGATAATAAGTGGATAAAAAACTGAAGAGCATTCAACCACCAAATGCAAGGACTGACGCATGCCACCAGAGAAATGATCATGAATTATCATGCTAAGAAACCATATACAGAGGAAATGAACTTGATCTATCATGCTAAGAAACCATACACAGACGACTACATATTATTCCATCACATGCACATGAACAATCCAGAATGGGCAAATCTCGAGATGAAAAAAATGGTTGCTGGCGGTGTCAAAGGGAGATTAGGGATTACTGAAAATAGGTATGAGGTCTCTTTCTCTGGAAAATTTAAAAATTTAGCAACAAAAAGTTTTAAAATGAGCAATTAATGGTTGTTGCACAATTGTAAATTATACTAGAAAAACATTCAATGGTATATTTTAAAAGTGCAAATTCTGTAAGTGGTAAAAAATCAACAAATGAAAGGGCAAATCTTATGGTTGCTTATGGGAAGCTTTTCAAAAAAACGCTTTTAGAACTATTTTTTAAAATCACACCAAAGTACACTAGCAATAATCAGTAATCTCTTTTCTTCAAGTTTAGCTCCAAGCGCATGACCAAAGTTAACCTAGCATCCTCTAGTAAAACGCCCAGACTCAGGCAACAGAGAGCACAGTGACCGAGGCGCCTGCCTTGCCCGCCCCAGACCTCCGTCCTATACTGGGCCCCACCAAGAATTACCCAACCCCACGGCAGACCGCCAGGAGAAAACCTGGATACCACAAAATAACCTCACGTTCAAAAAGATAAGAGCTTTTAATGTTTTGCAAGTTTTGTTAGAAATGCCAAAGAAAGCCCATAAATGTGCCACATCAAGTTCAAAAATGCACCACCCAACTCTCCGACAGAACCCCCTGCTCCCACACGCTGCGATGGTATACCAGTTTACAGGGACGCAGCCATTGCTGTACATCACCCCCAAAAAGGCCACCTGAGCTGTGGGAACAGGAGCATCGGGCAACACTGCTCAAAGCACAGACAAGACTGTCACACACACGCACAACCTCGTTCTCTCGCATCTTAGGGGACGAGCCTCGGAGCTCGACAGCTACCCCAGAATAATTGAGAGCAAGAAAGGAAGCCCCGCTCCAGCGGCAGGACAGCGAGGGCCACTGGCAGTGTCGCCTTTGAACACACGGCTCACCAACTTCAGCAAGACTTACAGGTTTTTTGGTTTCTATCACAAGAAGAGATGGCGGTCTTTCATTGGAGGACTGATTTGGAGGATTTTTTTGATCAGCAAATCTCGAAGATGGCTTATAGATTTTACCACGTTTTTCATCTGTTTCGTGTTCTTCTGAAATTTAAAGTCAAGGTTTCAAATCTCATTAAAGGCTTTTCTTGACTATTTTTACTTAAGAATATAGAAAAGGCTTTTGGTTCTAAGATTTGTCATTACTGGCAAAATATGAAGTTAATATTGCCCTTCTCGCCAAAATTCTAATATCACTTAAGCTATGAAGTACACTTAATTTTTCCACTATTCTGTACTCCTGAAAACTAGAAAGTTATTAAATCTTCCTATAATGTACCAGGCTCATTTTTCTCATTCGTTTCACTAATGAGTATCACCACTAGAGGGGGCTAACTGCTTTCATAATGATCCACAAAGGCTCAAGACAGAGCAACACACTTACCTTTAGCTGCATTAACAACACCTCCACGTACAAATGTTTTCACTTTATTACCATCACTGCCTTCAAAAGCAGCAAGAAATTCTTCATAAATTTCAGCCGCTGCCTTTTCGTCCTCCTGAGTAGAACATTAATATAAAAATCAACACTGTACAAAGGAAACTTGTCAACGAATAATAGAAACTCTTTTACTGGGGAAAGCAGGTTAAACAATCCTAACAGGGAATAGTACCTAAGAGCAATTCTTGGCGGGGGGAGGGAGAATCCTAGACACATGAAACTGAAACTAAAAGAGGCTTAACTCCTGTGCCAGAAATTTAGGAGATCCGAAAAGGATCCCCACTACAAAATGTCTGGAGACGATTCAACGATCCATCTCTATGCCCGCTGTCCACAGGTATTTGTTCTATTCAAGTTTGTATTTTCTAGCCATGAAAATATAAGTCACTGAACGTAAAAAATGTTCTCATACAAACCACCAAAAATTTCTATTCGTTGAAACAGCAGTATCACCAGTTGCCATTTAAAAAAAAATGCTCAGGAGAACCTTGACAATTTTAATTATAACCATTCAAAATGTCCCCCCAAATGTGAATAGAAAAGACCAAGGAATATGGAAAAATAAATTAGGTAGCATGTGGAAAATTAGTAATAAACAAAATGTCTTAAATCAAGGGGAGTTGATGCACAGATTTTCTATGAACAATGTTGAAAAAATCTAGTAAGTTATTAAAAAAAAAGATAAAAAAACAATTATTTTTATACAGATCAAGAACCAACTACAAATAAATGTTGTTTTTTTGTGTGTGTATTTTTCTTAAACACAAAAACAAACATTAGAAAAAACACAAGATCCTTTGTAAGCGAGGACGGGGGGAAAAAACTAAAAAAATAAAAATCATAAAAACATATTTATGTAGCAACTGCTTCTCTATGCACAAATCACAAACAAAAAATTAACAGTTATAAAACACAAACACAGTTCCCTGTCATTACTTAACAAAGGATTCTAAACAACTTACAAAAAGTTAAATGAGCAGAGAGTTTGCAAAAACAAATACAAATCATTAGACTTTGTAAGAGAAACAAATATAAAACTACAGAGGGCTGGGGCCTGAGTACAGCATTTGCCTTGAACCTGGCCGGCCAGAGTTCAGACTACAGCTCAATCCCTAGCACCCTATATGGTCTCCGATCTCCCCCCCCCGAGCCTTGAGGAGTGATCCCTGAGCACGGAGCCAGGAATAAGCCCTAAGCAGAGCCGACTGTGGCCCATTCTAAAACAACAGAAAATAAACCAACAAAAACTAGAGGGTCAGAGAAAGAGTAGAAGTGAGTAAGGCACTTGGCCTTGCACACCACTGAAACGGGTTCGATCACTGGCACCCCATATGCTCATCCCGCCAGGAGTAAGCCGTGGGCGCAGAGTCAGTAGTAAGCTCTGAGGACATGTAGGTGTGGCCCAAAACAAAAATAAAACAAACCCTGTCTGAGATATCATTTTTCACCTAGCAGATTGGCCAAAACCATCTCATACAACTATAGTGATGCAAGAGTGGTTAACTGACAACATCCAACATTCATTCATACACTGACCACTCAACCCCATAATCTCACTTATAGGAATATATACACCAAAGATTCACTAGCAAAGTGCCAAGTCCAACACTATTAATACCATTTTGAATGATAAAAGACCATAACCTAAATGCACTCATAGAATTTTAGTCAAAAAAAAAAAAAAAACTACACTTCTAGTTATTATGGGGGAAAAATACACCAACATATTTACAGAAACCACTGAGGTGTAATGCTGTCACTGTCCTCCCGTTGTTGTTCATTGATCTGCTCAAGCAGGCCCAGTAACGTCTCCATTGTGAGACTTGTTGTTACTGTGTTTGGCATATTGAACACATCATGGGCAGCTTGGCAGGCTCTGCCGTGCGGGCGAGAAACTCTCAGTAGCTTGCTGGGCTCTCTGAGAGGGGCGGAGCAATCGAACTCAGGTCGGCCACGTTGGCCGCTTGAAAGGAATCGAACCCGGTCACCCTGTATAGTATTCATCCAAGAAAAGGGACCTTGGCACAACTGTATTACGTTTACACGTTGCTTTCATGGAACGACTGGGCAGAGGAGAGGGAAAAGGGTACTGGAGACAGGAGAGAACATGGGCTCCTCTGAGAATACCTTGATTACAGACTTGACTTATGGATGGACAGCAGCAGAGAGTATTCTGGAGGTTAGGAGCTGCTGAAGAACATTCTCTGCTGCCCATATACTTAAAAACACTTCCAAAACTAAATCCACTTAAAGCCTTACCTTTTTCTTCAATTCTTCTTGTTCCTTCTTACTTAAAGTCCGCTTAGCTGTACTCATTTTTCCAATACTGAATGCTTTCAGCTTGTTTTCTAAAACAGGCTGTGAAAATAAATGCAAAAGGCACATTACACGCATTTCTTAACTCTACCTGTAAGGTTGATAATTCATACACTTTCAATGTCAAGGCAGTTTAGGTGACTTTCAAAATTTTTTACTGCCTCTAAGAAAAACAAAAGCTACACAAAGCACCAAGTACCTACCCTGGGTCTGATTCTAAGTATTCCTTAAAGGTCGTCTTCATTTCCAGCCCAGGGAAATAAAATACAAGTCTTTCTGGGGACCACTTGCAGAGCTAGGGGTTAAGCCTGCTCAGTGCCGGGTGGGGGTGGGTGGGGCGGTCAGCTCCCAGGAGTGCCCTGTGCACCTCCACAGACCCAACTGGGCCTCCTGTACAGTCCAGTCCTTTGAGCATCTCCCTGCCAAGAGCCTCTCTTTCAAAAAGTTTTAAACATTCGGAGAGAAAGGAAACAATAGGAAAGGGGAAGCACCCATGTTTCTCAGCAGCAGTCACAGAAAACAGTCCCTGGGGAGGAGGCAGCAGCCAGCCCAGCTCAGCCCAGCCCAGCCCAGCCCAGCCCAGCCCAGCGCTCCTTCCCAACACAGCACTCAGAAACTTTCAGAAAACGAGCTCATTTTTTCATCAACAATACTGCGATTTGTGAACACAGTAATTTTCTGTGCTGGGAATGTATCACATATACATCAATATTTTAGGTTGCAGCACAAGTAAACTGGAATGAGAAAATATCAATCTTGATATGAAAAGTTAACAAAGTCTTTCTTTATGCAACTTAGACTAAGCAATTTCCTTTCAAAATAGGAAACGAATAAATTGTCTGCAAATCTTCAGCTGTTCAGTTATTCATTTGAACATTCAGTTTGATTTGGTTTTTAAAAGAGAAATATTCAGAACATTCACATAAAATACTAATCTTCAACTGACATCTGAAGGTTTATCTTTTTTTCAGATTTGTTGTTTTTCAAATTCAGTCACCATAAAGTTACAAAGTTATTCCTGGTTGGGTTTCAGGCACACAGTTTCAACACCGCTTCACCAATGTTCCCTGCCCTCCAACACGGTGCCTTCAGCACCTTCTCCTCAGGTGTGAATCCTCCCTCCACCAGTAACGGGCGCCCCCCCAGCCCCCCATCCAATCCCCCAGCCCACTCTTTTGAATACCAGTGTTCTGTGGTTTCCACTGCCCAGGTGTTCACTGTGAAGGTTACTTACCTACCAAAACTAAAAGCTAATCTATTACAAACATTCTTTACCAAATCCCTAGTTGGTATCTTTGGATTCGTCCTGAAGAAATGAAGAAAGGAAGAAAAATACTGTTGCTATTTTAAAATCACACTTAATTCTACCTGGAAAAAAAAAAAGCCAAGGTGACAGGAGAGCAGTTGAGGTGCTTGCCTTGCAGGTGGGAGACTCAGATGCAATCCTGGCCTATGGTCAGGTCTATGGTCCCCCCCAGCAAGCACGAAGTGGTCCATGAGTACAGAGCCACAGTGAGGCCTGAGCACCACCAGGACAGTAAGAAATGTGGGCAGATTTTTTCCTGGCCCCAACGCAAGGCGAAGTTGTCTAGGGCAGCCCTGGCAACCTCCACACTCCACGAGAGTGCCATGCTTCTGGCCAGAACCCACTGCTCGGATGAGCCTCATCCAGAAATGAATCTGTTGAAAACCTCAGGTGTGTGAGGTTTGTGACACTGAAATCTCCAGGCTTCCACTGCAGGCAGGCATGGGCTACCTTCCTCCTTCTCCCTGTGCCTCCAAAAGCCCCGGCAATCATGCACACACCCCAAAGCTGCCACACGGTTAAAAATTTAACTCCATCTGTTTCACCCGTTAAAAACGTCAGACACTCTGGAGCATGTGGCTGCAAATGCAGCCAAATAGCAGCTCAGACTCTATGACACTGATAAATCAGGAGTATCACACCAGATTGATGGGACATGACGAGAAGGCAGCCAATCTCAGTAAAACATAAACACAAAAGGCTTAACCTATAACAACATCTTAATAAACTATTTTTTTCTATTTTTTAACATTTATTTATTTTTATTTTTGGGTCACACCCAGCGATGCTCAGGGGTTACTCCTGGCTCTGCACTCAGGAATTACTCCTGGCGGTGCTCAGGGGACCATATGGGATGCTGGGAATCGAACCCGGGTTGGCCGCATGCAAGGCAAACGCCCTACCTACTGTGCTCCAGCCCCTTAATAAACTATTTATAACAAGCAGTATAAAATAAATTACTAAGGACCTACTAAGGGGGCAGGCTTAAGGAGTGGTTGGGAAAATTGGAATTAATGGTGCTGGGATTAGTGTTGGAATACTGAATTTAACTAAACTGATGATGTAACAGCACTGTCCTCCCATGGTTCATCGATTTGCTTGAGCGGGCACCAGTAATGTTTCACAACAAATTGTGAACTTGTTGTTAATGTTTTTGGCATATTGAACACGTCAAGGGTAGCTTGACAGGCTTTGCCGTGTGGGCAAGATACTCTCGGTAGCTTGCTGGGCTCTTGGAGAGGGGTGGAGAAATCGAACCTGGGTCAGCTGCGCGTGAGGCAAATGCATTACCCGCTGTGCTATCCTTCCAGCCCAATGATGTAATAAAGTTATTTAAAAAAAAAGAAGTATATGAATACTGAGCTTCCAAAAATCAACTCAAAGGAAAATTTCCCCCAAATACAAAAATGTTTCACCACTGTTCAGCATCATGGATTTCAAGTTCGGATGTTAGACAAATAGTAAATTACACAGAAATTGAATGAAAAGCCTAATTTTACAAAGTAAAATGTTTACTCAAACTTTATAACAAAGTACTAAATTTTCAAATGTAGGAGAAATGGTTAAGAAAATTATGGAATGTTTATTCAAGCAAACGAGTTCAGTTTAAAATCTGTTTACAGAATTTCCGTCAAAACTTCAAAATATTGGAGTGAACATTTTTTCCTTATTGGGGGCCCTTTCCAGGAACAGGCTGCCAGGGAGGGGCGCACAGCTACACTGGGCAGTGCTTGGGACAGTCACTTGGCCCCAGGGCCTTCAGGCCCTAATGGCCAAAGAAAATACTTTTAAATGTCTTTCTATAAAATAGGTCTTAGCAAAGTAAAAATACACTAATGTTCAGAACTATTAAAAAGAAAGTGTTATTTACTAACACTTGTGATGATTATCTGTAGCACTGTTAGTACTGTCTTCTCGTTGTTCATCAATTTTGCTCACGCGGGCATCAATAATGTCTCCACTGTGAGGCTTGCTTACTGTTTTTGACAGATTGAACACGCCACGGTAGCTTGCCAGGCCCTGTCATGGAGGCGGATACTCTCGGTAGCTTGCCGGGCTCTCCAAGACGGAAGGAGAAATCGAACCCAGGTTGGCCGCGTGCAAGGTAAATGCCCTAACCACTGTGCTATCTATCGCTCCAGCCCAATGATTATCTGAATTTCAAAATTTAACATCATACCAAAAAAAGTCACACAATCACTTGGCAATAGGAAAAAGAGTCAGAGTTCAAAGGGCTGGAAACATGCTTTACATGTGGGGTCCAGGGTTCCATCCCTGGGCACCACCACTTGTGACCCAAAGAAGAAGAAGAAGAAGAAGAAGAAGAAGAAAAAGTCAGCATTTTCTATACCCACATGAGAAAGTTCCTCCTCGGCTCTCCCAGAAACTGCACGGACCCTACACGGGGGAGCTGTGTCCCCCGACCCACCCCACCCCCGGCATGGCAGCTGGGTAATGACTTACCATTAGCCCCTTGAAACCCAAAACACTCTTTTGTCCTTTAAATACACAGAAACATTTCAATGAAATGCTGTTCAGAAGAGCTAAAAACCTTTCTTCAGAAAATTTGAGTTTCTCTGGGCAGACAAAGAATCCAGCAGGTCGGGTTCTTGCCTTGTGCTAAGTTGGACCCGGGTTCAATCCCCAACACCCTGTACGGTCTGCCCTCCAACATCACCAGCCTTCCCAAGAACAAGTCAGAGCCCTACAGGCAGCGGGGTGTGGCCCAAGAACAAAGAAGGAGTTAGGAAGAAAGGAAAATTTGAGTTTCCCATAAACCTAAATACAATAAAGGATGCTGTTTCCAGTTTAAGATAAACTATTTTCTTAGTTTACAAACTAAGAAATTAAACAACCAAACTCAATCCACATAGATTAAGATCAGCTATCCTTTCCTCTTTGATCAATACTCACTCGTGAGAGATTCTGATGGGGAGAATCACAGAGGCTTTCTCGAGAACTCTCATTCCTGTAATTATGTTTCCGTGGACTTTTAGGTCGGGTCCGACTTGGCATATCACTATCTGACGGTCCAGATGCATCCATCTTCAGGAAAAGTAAAAGAAAAAACTTTTTAATTCACAAATTCAGTACAGAAAGTAGAAATAATTTCCCAAGCCCAATATTGACAAATTTCATTATGTACCATCAATAGATTATTTGCCAAGCACATAATTCTGATTAATCAACATCTGTCAATTGCTCTTTCAAATAAAAATGGTACACCCCTTAAAAGAAAAAAAAAGCTGGTTTTATTTCTGACCTAATCCCCTAATTACCTTTCCTCAAGACAAACATTATAGTTTGGCAAACAGAAGTGCCTTTACTTCCATTACATCACCAGGACATGAAAAAGACAAGGAGAAGACTATCTCTGTTTCATCTAAAACATTAAATAAAATTAGCCTATGCACAGTGGAGAAGAAAAGAACTGTAAAAAAGGTCCATGCTAAGGCACCCAACAATTCACTCATCAATTGTGTTTATACTACTAGTGAAAAGGTCGTCAAAGTAGAAAAGGCAAATGCTATCTAAGTATCTTTGGGACAGAGAGAGAGAGAATGAGAAAGTGTGTGCCATAGAGGCAGGTGGATGGGGGAAGAACTGGGGGTGTGGGGGAAATAAGGGACACTGATGCTGGGAAATGTACATTGGTGAAGGGATGGATGTCGGAACACTGTATGACTGAAACCAAATTATGAACAGTTTTGTAACAAGTTACATCACGGGAATCCAGTCAATGAAAGTAGTAATTTTTTTAAAAAATAAATATTTGGGGGGCTTGAGCGTTAGCAAAATGGGTAGACCACTGCTGTGTATGTGACCAACCCAGGTGACAACCCTGGCAGCTGCCCATATGGTCCAGGGCCCTGCCAAGAGTGATCCCTGAGTGCAGAGCCAGGAGTGAGCCCTGAGCATTGCTAGGGGTGGCTGCCAAAAAAACAACAACACAGAAGAGAATCTAAAATTGCCTTAAAATCACAGACAGCCATCCCACCCCACCCTGTCAATTCCCAGGAGTCTGTAGAGACATTTGGAGAATGACTGCAGAACATCTATTCAAGTTTGACAGTAAGACTTAAGTGGAAAGGATTTCTGCTACAACCATCAACAGAGATCATAATAAAAAAAAAAAAGTGGACCTCCCCAGATCATTTTGTCATTACAAAGACAGGCCGAGCTCTGCTTAGTCACTTGCAGAATCTCCAGTAAGCACACTATGCAATGAGAAAAGAATGTGTGTAATAATGTAGCCTCAAGGCCAATAAACAAGTGCACACATTTAGATATGTACAGTTATATATGTACAATGAAAACAAGGAAGGAATGGAGAGAGAATACAGCGTCAGGGTACTCGCCAGGCACGCGTCCAACACAAATTCAATCTCAGCACCCTATATGGTCCCCTGAGAACCAGCAGAGGCAGGAGTAAGTCCTGAGCCCTGCTAGGTGTGGCCCAAAATAAAAAACAAAATATAAGGAAATATGCATACTTAGATTCTAATATGGTTCAAAGGGACAGCTGAATGACATGAACATAAAAAAGGAAAAGTGGCTGGAGAGTACAGCGGGTAGGGTGCATGTCTTTTATGCAGCCAACCCAGGTTTGATCCCTGACATCCCAAATGGTCCAAATCCACCAGAAGTGATCCCTGAGCACAGAGCCAGGAAGAAGTTCTGAGCATCGCCCTGTGTGGCCCCAAAATCAGGAGGGGCCGGGGTTAGGTTAGGGGAGGCAAAGATGGGATACAGGACAATGACATGACTGGCAAAAATTAGGCATCGTGTAATAAACATCTGCAAATCAAGTAAAGCCATAAATCTATAAATGCAAGGAGAGTTCAACCAGGAAAAGATGTTGGGGCTAAAAGGTAGTCAAGTGCCACGTGTGAAACCCCATCAACAACAGTGCTGTAAACCACACTGCAAAAATTTATTAAAATTTTAAAAAGAAAAATGTCTTCATAGAAGCAGATGGGAGTTCGGGGGGGCACTGGTGGAGAGAACTGGACGCTGGTGTTAAAACACAGTATGCCTGAAATCCAATCATGAATAATTTTGTAATTTCACAATGACTAAATAAGAAAAATTGCTTTTTAATTTAAATTGCTTTTTTAATTTTAACTTCCTCAATTTTAATGAGGAAAGAAAAATTGTGTTTTATACTCACATGTGCATCTGAAGATCCAGACGAATGAACATCTGATGATCTGGACTGCAAGTATTAAAAATAAGTATTTAAATGATCAGAAAATGTCCTATTACACTGACAAGTATTTCACATGTTCTACCACTATAATCTTCCCAAATTGTAACCATTTCTTCCCTGCTAATAAAGCCAAACAATGGACTTCATAAAGGGTATGATCCAAAACATATGTGCAACTCTGGAATTTGGAAAATTAATTTCCCAAAATATGATGCACGTAAGTGTTTGCATGTAGCTGACCTGGGTTCGATCCCCAGCATCCCATACAGTCCCCTGAGCACCCCCAGGATTGATTCCTGAGGGCAAATCCAGGAGTAACCCCTGTGCATCGCCGGGTGTGACCCAAAAAGCCAAAAAAAAAAAAAAAAAAAACCGAAAAAAAAAAAAAAAACACCCAAACGAACAAAAAAATTCCCCTTAGAAAAGAAGGGGGAAGGGAAGTCAACTAAGAGGCTGAATGACCTGGCTAGGAGAAATCAGCAGCTTTCCAGTATCATCAGTAGAACAGAAATGTCCTACACAGAACAGTTAATAAAGACACACAACACAAAGGAACCTCGACGTGTATCAAGAGACAAACTTGACTAAAGAATTCAGCTTTCCAATTTAACTAGAATCTTAAATTTTTCCCATTTAATATGAAGACCCATCATATTCCTGGATGGGAAAATCGGTAAAACAATGTCAACTACATCCAAAATCATTCACATTCTTAAAGCAAGTTCACTCAACAGTTTAAAAACCTTTAAAAAAAACAAAAAACACTTCCCAGGGAAACAAAAGAGGCTTGCTAAAAATAATTCTCAAGGAGAACATGCAAGTATAGCTAAGAAACTGCTCCCCTTTCTTTAATCTTTGTTACCATATCCAAATGCTTCTTCTGCCAATTACAATGAACCAAACCAATTCCAAAGGCAGTGGAGCGACTCCTCTTGTAAACAGACAAGGATGACTAGGAGGACTGCTAACTAACCAGCATGGAAACAACCCTGAGGTAGGCTGAAAAGTTACAGTTACAGATCCTGCAAAGAACCTGGACTTCTCAGGCCAGTGGTCTAAGGAAGTATCCGCTGTTGCATCTCATCATCTCATCTCTCTCCCTCTTCTTTTCCAGATTCAGAGCACACAGGCCTGTGCTCAGGGTTTAGACCGGTCAGGCGGGGGAAGCGGGAGCCGTCCAAGGACGGAAATCAGCCGCGAACCAGGCTAAGGCCATACCCAGTTGTGCTCAGTCACTAAAGCAGGATGGGCCAACACCTCAAACCCTGTGTACCTCTCTGGCCCTTGAGGAAAGAACAAATTAATGGAAGGAGTAAGCTCAAAGGGCCGGAGGCCCATGGGAGCCCTAGATTCATCCTCAGCACAACCACGAGTCCCCTTGAGCACGAGTCAGTCTGTCTGTCTCTGTGTCTCTCTCTCTCACACACAAACACACACACACACACACACACTCTCTCTCTCTCTCGCTCTCTCTCTCTCTCTCTCTCTCTCTCTCTCTCTCTCTCTCTCTCTCTCCCCCATCCCTTCAAACCTACAACATAAATCTGCATCAAAGGAAAAAGGCAAGAGTCAGGTTGGAGGCAGTGCCGCAGGCCGGAGCAGGCAGGAGACTGAGGGCACCGCCTGCTGTGGGCGGGAGGGGCACTCCGATGGCCACTGCGGGAGGTGGGCCAACTGCTATGATCCATAGCCCTGGTGTCCTTACTCTCCACCAGCTCCATGCCCGTGAGTTCCAGTCACGCCAACTCTCCTTCCTCACACGTCTGTCCTGAGGCCGGCCGACCCTCCTGGCACCCCCCCCCCCCCCCCCCGGCACCATCTTAGCAGTCCTGCAGTTGACCCAGCTCGGCCAAGACTGAGGCGGGCAGAGCAGACTCCTGGTTCTGGACCTTCAACCCTGGTCCCAAGTCGTTCTCAAACCCCCTCCAGCTCCCCATCAGCTGCATGCACACCACCTTGTGGAAGCCAATCCGAGACACCCTCACCAGGGTTCTCCGGGCTTCGTGCTCCTGACACTGGGCTGGAAATCTTCATCCCGCAGATGCAGGACGCAGAGAAATTCTCAGGGCACTGAATCTGGGATCTCAGAATCCAGCACCCTCCAGCTTTGAAACTTTGCAGCGAAGGCCCCCGAATGTCAGGTGAGTGGCGCCGGACCACAGCAAGGCTAGGACAAGCAAGCTAACACACCTAGTAGGACAGCTGCCCACAGGGCACCCTGACTCCTGTTCCAACACCAGGTCACCCCAGCCCTAAACATCTCTTCCAGGGAACGCTTCGTCACCTTTCTAGAGACAATGCCTGGTTCTGGTTGTCTGTCTCAACCAACCATTCACCGAAGAACCACTTACTCTTGAGATGTGCCTTGCACGAGACTTAAAAAACACTAAGACACAGGCCAGAGTACAGCGGGCAGGGCGCTTGCCTGGCACACGGCTGACCCAGGTTCGCTCCTCAGCACCCCAAAAGGTTCCGGGCACCATCCAGAAGGATTCCTGAGTGCAAAGAAGGAGTGAATCCCTGAGCACTGATGGATGTGGCCAAAAAAATAAGCAAACAAGAAATAGAAATCCAATCAATCCAATAAGAAACAGTGAACCATACTGAGTCATAATCCAGCATATGAGCTACAAAAATTTAAAAATACCAATCCAGGGGCTGGAGAGATTGCACAGCAGGTAGGGCGTTTGCCTTGCATGCGGCTGACCTGGGTTCAATTCCCAGCATCCCATAGGGTCCCCAAGCACCGCCAGGAGTGACTCCTGAGTGCAGAGCCAGGAGGAACCCCTGTGCATCGCTGGGTGTGACCGAAAAAGAAAAAAATAAATAAAATAGGGGCAACTACACACAGGTTCAGTCCTTTGTGTAATCATACACAAAACACTATTTCCGATCCAGAAGAAACTTAAAGGTGTTATCTAACTTAATCTCATGAAAAAAAAATCAAGGTATCTAGCACATGACCGCTAGATGTAAACAGCTCTGCCTCCAAGGCCCAAAATCCTGCATCTTAACGTTTTCCTCCAAGTTAAGATTATAGCTAGCCTCTGGCCACCTCGCTAGGCCTTGAGGCACCCAGGAAGGCGCCTGAAACAGAGCCTGTCCACGCCAGCTGTTTTGCGAAATCCAAGCCACTGTCTGCGCTTCCGAGACGAAGGAAAGTCACCAGTCCAGGGGCGAGGAATGCGAGATGCTGGCACCTCTGGCCTGGAACGCCTGGACACCCTGCACGAAGAGCTCGGGACCAGCGTCGGAAAGAAAGAGCCCTCGCGCGGGGCAACCCTGCTGCGAGCTGGCGTCCAGGTCCCACACCTCGGGACGAGCGTGTTAACCCCCCACCCTGGAAAACTCCGAACACGCAAAACCAAAGACAAAAGAGGGAGGAAGGACAGCCACTCGGGCGCGAGGGCGTTTGTGCGAGGCTCGTCCCCCGTTTTTGTTTGGAAAACGGGGGGGGGGGGGCGTCGGGACGGGGCGCTGCGTCCGCCCGGGCCACCTGCTAGCAGGCCAGCGCGGGCTCCCGGGGACCCGGCTCGCCACTTCCGCCGCCGCGCGGCCCCGAGACGCGGGTCCGTTGGGGGGGGGGGACACGCGCAGGCCGGGCGGGGTCACGTGACGCCCCGAGCCGCGGCGGGAGGGCGGGCGCGCGCGGGCGGACGCGCCGGGCCGGGCCGGGCCGGGCCTGAGGGGCTCCGGGGGCCGCGCACAGATCCCCGGGCCAGCCCTGCGGGCACGCCCCCGGCGCCGACGCGACCTCTCGCCTCGGAGAGGCCGACGAATCCTTCCCCAAAAAACCTTTTTTTTCCTATCTAAGCGCAAAGCAACTTCCAGCCGCACCTCAGACTTTTTCGGGCCGCGCCAAAGACGGGGGGCGGGGGGGGATGAAAAATCCAGACCAGGACCCCCGCGAGCGGCCGTGGGAGCCTCAGGCTGGACGCGGGCTGGACGCGGCCACGGGGACCCCGGGGTCCGAGCACGTGGGCGCCCCCCGGCCCCTCAGGCTCGCGGCACGCCGGGCCGCCGCGCCCCCCGCGTCCTCCCCCCCAGGCCGCCCCGCGTCCCCCCGTGGCGTCCCCGCGCCCCCCGCCCGCCGCCGCGCCCGGACCCACCCACCCGCCCGCCGCCGCCCCCGCCCGGCCCGCGGCCCCGGCCCGCCGCCCGCCCGCCGCCACCTTGGAGCCGGCCTTCTGCGAGCCGCCGGGCGTCTTATCCGCCATCTTGCGCTTCGCCCCTCCGGCGGCGGCGGCGGCGCGGGCGAGTCGAGCGCCGAGAGCGTCGATGGGCGCCGGCGCAGCCCGCCACGGGCGCCGCCAGGACGAGCAGTCGGAGGCCGAGCGGGGGCGGGGCGCGCACGCGACTTCCGGCCCCGCCCGCCCGCGCGTCGCGTGACTTCCGGCCCCGCCCCTGCGCGCCGCGTGCCCCCGGAAGTCCGCCGGGCCCGGCTCCCACGCCCGGGGCGGGAAGGGAAGGCGCCTCCCACGGAGGCACGCGCTCGCGAGCGCGTGGAGGCCGGGGCCTCAGTTTCCCTGGCTGTGAGCTGCTTTGGGCTGATGCAGTCCTGCATCTTTTGTATCTTTTTTTTTTGCTTTTTGGGTCACACCCGGCAATGCACAGGGGTTCCTCCTGGCTCTGCGCTCAGGAATTACCCCTGGCGGTCTCAGGGGACCATAGGGGATGCTGGGAATCAAACCTGGGTCAGCCGAGTGCAAAGTAAACGCCCTACCCGCTGTGCTATTGCTCCAGCCCCTGTATCTTTTTTTTCGACTTTTGGGTCACACCCGGCGGATGCCCCGGGGTCACTCCTGGTTCAGTGCTCAGGAATTACTCCTGATGGTGCTCAGGGCTCACTCCTGGCTCCGCACCAAGGAGTTACTTCTGGCTGTGCTCAGGGGTCACCTGGCTTTGCACTCAGGAATTACTCCGGCTGGTGCTGGGGGTCACTCTTGGCTCTGCGCTCAGGAATTACTCCCGATGATGCTGATGATGGGGGGCCAGTGAGGGATGCCTGGGATCGAACCTGGGGCAACCGCCTGCAGGGCAAACTCCCACCCCGCTGTACTATAACCCTGGCCCACAATCCTACTTTTTTTTTAACTTCTGGCAAATTCCTGAATTTTTCCTGATAATCAGGAGTTCTCCAATTGCTCATCACAAGATTCTGCCCCAGCCCTTAGGCTCACGGGGAGTTGAGATGATGGACAATACCTGGGGCAGGTGGCCAGAAAGGCTGAAACCAGCCCAACCACTCTGCTGACCCCCTGCGTTCCCTGTCACACAGAGACCCGGTTGTCCTATAAAAATCTCACACAAAGAGCCACTGCTAATAAGTTCCATACCCAGTTCCTCTAGGGGGCAGTTTCTTTTCTTTTCTACTTTGCAAGAAGCGTTTCTACTTTCCATCTGTTGAGTCTGAGCATCTTTATTATTCAACATTTTCATTCTTGAAATCTTGAACCTGGGAGTCTCAAATAAGCTTCTGCCTCACTAGGAAGGAGCTTTACCTCCGGAGCTTTAACTTAGAAACCGAGTCTGCAGCCTGGGGGGAGTCCCAGGCAGCGTGGACACTCCCAGCCCAGGGGAGCGGGGAGATGAGCTTGCTTGCAACCTGCTCTCCTGCAGTGAAGTCACCAGATTCGATTGGGGAGTCAGTGAAAATGGGTTTGTACAGGGACAGGGTAAATGAACGAGATGGCATCACACATTAGAGGTGTTTAAGTAAAATTTGTCACGCGTGTGGTTTCTGTTCTTTTTGAAAAATGACGTGTGGGGGCCGGATAGCACCACAGGGAAGGCATTTGCCTTGCTGTCGACTTGCCCCTGCTTCTACCCACACCACCAGAAGTGATTCCTGAGCCGGAAATAAACCCTGAGAGTTGTGGGATGTGTGGCCCAAAAGAAAAAGCAAGCAAACAATAAGAATTATCCAGTATTTACATCTGTCATCGCGATTGGAGGGGAGCACTGAGCTCCATCAGGATCTCTGTTCAGGAAAGGGAAAGTGCTTGAAAATGCTCTGTGGGTCTACACAGTCCGGATTGCCATGTGCAGAAAACTGCTCTGGGAAAGAGGAAGGATTATTTTGTTGTTGTTGTTGGGTTTTTGTTTTTAATGTAGGATTGCCATTTATTCAGGCATTGATTAAGCTGATTGAATTGGGCATGAACTCCACATTACTTTTCTTAAAAAATTTTTAATTGAATATCCATGAGATAGACCATTACAAAGCTGTTCGCAATTGGGTTTCAGTCATACAATGATCCAGCACCCATGCCTTCACCTGTGTACATTTCCCACCACCAATGTCCCGTTTCCCTCCGACCATCCCCCAATACCCAGCCCCTACCCGCAGCCTCCCTCTGTGGGAGGCACTTAAGAGGAAGGATTCTTGACCGGCTCACATCCAAACCACTGAAGCTACTTTTTGAATCCCATGTTGTTTATTCTCGCAGCCAGAAACTTGGGGAAACAGAAACGCGGCGTCTTGATTGAAGCTTCAGGAGGATAAAGGCAAGAACAACAAAATGACCTGTGAAAAACACGCCTGTTTGCCAGAGGAGAAAGAAGAAGGAAAGAGTGTGCAGGTAGGGGTGAGGCTTCCCCCCACCCCCATGCTGCGTGCCTGAAATTGAGGGTAAATCCATACAATTTTACTAACGGTAAACTTTGTGAGCAACAGGGAGAATAACGAACAAGCCAAGTGCGGGCAACCAAACCAGGACTCCTGCCAGAGTCTCTTCTGAGGGGAGAAAAAAGTGGGAAAAGATATCTGTAAGTACGGGATTCCACAGGTGGGGTGTGGGGAGAGGGTGGGACAGGGTTCCTCTGGGCAGACTCATCTGAGCCAACTAGAGAGAACAGGCCCCACCTGTGGTAGCCCATAGGGCTTGGCTTAGGAGTCTCAGCAGAACAGAGCGCCTATTCTGGAACTCATGGAGCAGGACCCCACATCATAGACGGGAAGCCATAAAGTGACACACCCTACACACAAAAATGAGGGAAATGTGATTTGCACCTCTGGTGCAAATTGAGTTTATTTTCAAACTCTGGTCTGGTCACGCTTTTCTGTTCTGGGCTCCCTTCCTCCCCTTTGGCCTGGTCTCCAAGTGAAAGTCCATCAATTTTCTGTCCCTGGGATGATATCACTTCCTTCATTGTGGGCCATGTTGCGAGGCATAGTGGGAGGCAGATAGGGATGAGCATGGAGCCCCCATACTTGACCTGAACTGGACGAGCAGTGGGCGGCCCCTCCCCTGAAGCTCCCCTTTGGCTTCCCAGCAACCGTCCTGCTCCCCTCTGATAAATAAAATAAGACAGTGCCAGGGGGTGGTTGAGTGAACAGGGAGGATGGGGGGGCACCCAAAAAGGAACCAAGGACCATGATATCTTGCTTTACTTCATGCGTGTGTGTTCTTTACTTTGTGCAGATACATTCTGGAAGTCCCCCGAAGACTTGTAGGATTCAAGAAGACTTGTTTTCTTGTAGGATATAGGACTGTCCCTGCTTGCAATAAAGGAGCGGTCTCTCCATTTCTCCCTGGGCCTCAGCATACCCCCCTCCCTCTAGAGCGGCTTTTGCCTCCTTACAGCAGTGAGCCACGAGCTGAGCAGAAGAGCTGCCGCAGCTGGCCTCTCTGTCAGCCCGGTGACTCGTGCATGTCAAGATTGCGACATTTCAGGGTGCCTTCCAGACCTTTCTCTTGGCCAGGCACAGGAGGATGGTTCTGCTCACGTTCCCAGAGTGACCCAAACTTTCGCCTTCCAACAGCTCATGGCACTGGTCCAAGCTGGAACGCAAGGGGGAAGTCAGCAGTTCAGCAAGAAGATGCTCAGAGGGTCTGCTCAGAGAAATCCATAGGGTCAGCATTGATACCATCAGGCTGAGTGAGCCTGGGCCAGCATGAGTGGCCTAAACCCAAAGGAATTTTGCAGCATTTGAAGGTTTGATGTTGCCAAGGGACACATGCCTATAGTAAGAAGATCAGCCCCTTGCCAAAGAAGGAGTACTGGTCAATGGCCAGAGTGAACACCCAAGGCTGACCCCTCTCACTCCTTGAAGGCTTTTCTCCAAAGCCCCCCGAGGCCCGTACTTAGGTTAGGTTCAAGATAGGAGGGTTCTTTCCCCTACCCCCATCCCGACTCCCTGAAGATTTAGGGAACATTTTAAAATTGGAAGATTTGGGGGCTGGAGAGGGGGGGAAAAAGGCATATAAAGCATTTGCTTTGCACCGGGACAATCCTGGTTCAGTCACCAGCATCATATGCAAGGCAAGTGCTTTATCCCTATGATATCTCTCAGGCCATTACCCTCAATTTTCAAAAGGTTTTTCAAGAACTTTGCAACTTCTGCCCTGGCAGCTATACCAGGCTACCAAGATCATGCACTGGTTAACCACATCAAGAAGCTGGTGCTGTGTCAGCTTGTTGAGTAAGTGCCCTCCACCTCTCACAGGTGACCTGCGGGTCCTCAGGACTTCTGCAAGAGACCTGAGTACTCTCAATCTTGCACTTTTACAGTGAAAACAAAACAAAACAAATCCTTCTGCTTTTCCATCACGATCTGTAAATCACTGGGTAATGGAACTGATGCTGAGAGGGAAAATGTGCTTAAGGTGGAAGGGAAGATGGCATCGCTGGAACTTCACGAGAGAGAATAGCCCCCAAGAGCAGGGACAGAAGCCCCTGCTGCTGCTCCAGGAGGCAAGGGTCCGACAGAACTCCAGCACCTCTCCCCGCGCCTGGTGAGGGGCAGCCAACGGACCCCACGTGGGTCAAGGCCAGGTGAGCAAGAACAGCTGCCGTGAGGGGCAAACCGGAACCCTCACCCTTTCACCCCTGCAGGGAACAACAGCAAGTTCCCAGAACCGCCCTCCCCAAACCACACCGGTGAGTTCCTGGACTCCTCATCTGTGACCTTTGTGTGCAAGGGGATGAGCCCCGCGCTTGCAGGGTGTGGGATAAAGGGAGCTTTCCCCGAGGGTCGGCGGGGAACCAGACGGCAGTTTCCAAGTAAGACATCCCAGAGGCACGGATGACTGTTTGCCAAACGTTGGGAGAGATGGCCGAAGCACGTGGCATGTCCTGTTTTTGCTACAAAGTCACAGTGTGAATGTCCCGTGCGAGCCAGTTTTCGGTTCAGTGATGGACATTCATTCAGTGGCATGAAGGACATGGGGCCTGTGAGGGCGAAACTGACAACACGACTGGCGGCAGAAATGAGAAAACTCAAGTAGGTCTCAGGTTCAGTTCATGGCACTGAAACAGCGTCAGTTTCCCAG